TTAGTTATAAGTAAAAACATTTTGAAATTTATTAAGATTAAGTTTATATGCACAGCCTATTGTTCATTAATTTTTATGTGCAATAAGTTATTCATAAAATCATGCCCTTATAAGGAAAAACAAAGATCATATATAATTTTTATGTATTTTTCACACAAATATTTTTATGTCCAAAGCATTAAAATTTATATTTCAAGAATGCAATATCTATTTTTTTAACATTTTTTTATATTTTATCTTATTACACAATATTACATACAGATAATTATTAATTAGTCATTTATATCTTTTATTCATTTTAACAAAATTCAATGACTAAGTATTTAACAATTTACTTTAGATATACAGTACTGTAAAACATAAGGCAAAGAAAATGGAATATTATAGTATTGTTGTTAATTTTGAATTGCAATATTGCAGTTTCTTTTAAGGGCATATTATACACTGTGTGTGCGCGCGCCCGTGTGTGTGTGTGTGTGAGAGAGAGAGAGAGGGAGATTCCAAATATTTATAATTTTTAATTTTTTATAAAATCTACAGATTTTCAAAGAATATTTCTTACAACCTTATCAAAATTTATTATATATATGAAATTTATATAGAAAAACTTATATATATAAAAAGGTTGTATCATAATTATCAGTTATTTTTCCTCCAAAACGACTTATATTAATTTATATTTTGCAGCAGCAAATTGTACAAATAAATTGAAATATGATTTATAAAATAAATTCATTTATTTATATAAAAATAATATATTGATATATACTTACCTGTATATTCTAAAAGAAATTAGAAAACAGTTAATAAAAATACTATAAACATTCTAGTGCAGTAGAATTTAAAATTTATATTGTATAGTTCTCAAAGAGTATGTATAATCTATTTTCCCAAATCTTAAAAAATACTTTAAAGTATATGTAAAACGAAATAAATATATTCTGACATTAAATTATGATGTGATTTTTTTATAAAAGTGTTTGTAAATTATATGACCTTATTGTATCATAATTGATATGATACATTGGAATGAATTAATATAAGTGCATATATCAGTAATTTTAAATATTATTGTTTTCTTTTTTAAATATTGATATGATACTATATAAGATTTTAATATCATAATAATATTTAAATAGAAAATACAAAAAGCTATAGCTTATATTTTGTACAAACTCAATTTAGAAATAGAAATTTAAATACTAACATATATGGAATGATTACGCTTAGTTTATGAAATTATGATAAATGTATATTACATTCAATGTAAATATACATATACACATAAATATTACTCATATTATTCAAAATATGGAAAAGATGTTTGATTTAGAGGAGAAAATACAATGTTGAGTTTGAGCTTTTTGAAAAAGAGATATATGTAATTATTACACACAATTGCTGTAATATTTTAAAACATTCAATAAATAAAATACATAGTTATAACATAAATTCAAATCAATGGGAATATCCATATGTATATGTATCTACATTGCCTTATATTGTTAAATGTATAAATATACAGTATATTTATGGCTGTCACGATTTTTTAGGAACTTTTAGTAATCTAATAAAAAAAATGTTCCAAACAAATGTTGATCAGTCCTGAATCAATAACAAGTTGTAATGTAAAACTAGCCTGAAACTTTTTTTTGACAAAAAGTTGTGGTCACCTGCACTTTTTGGAAGTTACGTTTTTCCCATTTAGTTTTATAAGTAACATTGAGACAAATTCAGTGGTATTATACAAAACTACTTGTCTTCAATAATTTACTTAGAAAATCGTTCTAAAATATAAAAAAAACTTCTTATTAACGTCTAAATGAAACGCAAACAAATTTCAATGATATCTTATAATTGAACATAAACAGTAAATACACTTGTTACAGATTCCACTTCTGGTTCATTACATGTAACTGTATTATCATTAAATTTATTTTAAATGCATCAGTACAACAATTATTATACAAATATTTATAAATTATTTATAGAGATATTCGTAATTAATTTTTTATGAAACATCCATTAATACTATTGAAGAATTTTGAAAACAGATAATACATACATGCAAAATTATGAATTTACAAAATTTAAACTTCGAAGTATGTTATTAAAAGAAATAGATAATAATGAGTAAATGTCAATGATGTTTTAAGACATATATCATATATAAAAATGAAGAAGACACTAAATCACTAATACTGTTATAATAATAATATTTCTAAATATTAACTAAATTATTTGCTGATCATTCTTTATTTAATGCTTGAAATATTTGTATTTTAATATAATACATCTTACAAAATACAGACTCACAGTCATTTTTATACACTTATCTTCAAATTGTATGATTATATTGTTTATATTTAAAAATATATAATTGAATTCTATTATAAAAACATAATTTCATATATGTATATTTAAAGAAAATTAATTTTTTAATTATATATAAGTTTACAATCGATAATGAACAGTTATATTTTTAAAAAATTACTTTTTTAAATTGCATATGTTGAAAAAATTTCATTCATCTTGAGATTTCTTTTTCTTTTTTTTTCTTTTTTCGCTTATAACTTTTTCACTTGTTTCTTCATTTGTGAATGTAGTCTCTTCAATCTCCTGATCCTTATCTTTCTTCTTCTTTTTCTTCTTTATTTGCTCTATAACAAAAAAAAAACATATTTTATATGTATATTAAATTTGTACTTATTATATTTTCTACTTGTAATTTTATTCATATCATATTATAGATTTAAAATTCATAAAATAGATAAAATAAAAACTAACCCCCTGATATCCCAGGAATGTTTTCTATTGCTTTCTCTCCTTCTTCTTCACATTTAAAGCTTGATTCAATATTACCTTCTATATCCTGTACTTTACTTTTTTTCTTCTTTTTCTTTGTCAAAACTTCTTCTGACTGAGCTACTTCCTGAGTTACTGATTCATCTATACTGTCACTAACTTTCTTTTTCTTTTTCTTAGGCATTTCTTCATCTAGCTTTGTAATTTCTTCAACTGGCTTTGTAATTTCTTCATCTGGCTTTGTAATTTCTTCGATTAGCGCTTTTTTATCTTCAATTTCAGAATGTTTTCTTTTCCCATGTCGAGGAGTTACATCCTCATTAACAGAATACTGAATATATTCACTTTTAGTATAATATTTCTCAAATTTTGCTTTTGCTTTGCCTGTGCCACTAATTCTACGTAAATTCCCTTCTTCTAGAATCCTCAAACGTGCTTCCAATTTAGCTTTATGTTCAGCACCAAGATCAAAGCTGCCATCTTCTCCTAATGCATCTACTCTAGTTGCTAATGAAGCTTTAGCAGCTAACATTCTGGACATCTTTCCCTTATTTTTTGTTGAAGATTGTCCAACAAGTTGTGCATGATAAATTAAACCATATTTTGGAGTATCTTTTTTTGATTTTAATGCTCTAAAGAGAGCTTTTTCAGCACCAAGTATTTGCACAGTAGATGCTGGATGCTTAGCAAGATTAATTAAAGACCCAGCATGTGAGATTAAACGAGCTCCCACTAACTCTCCAACAAGAACAGTTAAATTTGGTGCCATTGCCATCATTCTTGCTTTAAGATAATCATATAATTGTGTTCTATACTGAGAAATTTCAATAACTTGATCACATAAATGTTGAATATTTAAAATATCATCTTCAGAGATTTCAGTTCCCATAGATATCTCAGCAGCTTCTTTTACTTTTCCCTCTACATCTTCTGATAATATATCAGATAAATCTGAATTTATAGTATTCTCTCTAGTTCCAATTACTTTTACTGTTTTAACAAATGCTATATTATCTGTAATAATCTTTCCAAGTTCTGGAAAGTGCCAGCCATACCATTCACGACAACGCATAACATAGTTATTTAATTCTTTGTCTAAATCATCTAACAAACAAACAGCTTGTATTATCATAGTATCAATTTTATCAGGTGAAAATTTCAATTTGTACCTAGAAAGGCTATGTGCTAAACCCAATGCCATTGCTGTTATTTCTTTTTTAGGTAAACCAGCCAATAAACTATCCATCTGGCTTCTTATACATCTCATTAATTCTTGTATAGCAGTATTACTGACACAAGACAAACTCAGTTTATCCTTTATAGCATTACCTAACTTAGCGTCAGCTACAGCTAGTTGTTCTTGAAGTTCATTACAATGTTTTTTAAGTATCTTCTTTAATGATTTACAAAGTTTACCTTCTACCGCAGCAGTTGTAGCTACAAGAGCCTCAGTAGTATCGGCAAACTTTTCAAAGTGTTTCAACTTCACTCTGTAATGCAAGATGTTTAATATTAAAACTAAAAATTAAAATTGTTCTGAATGCAATATCTTGCTCTATCGAATTTATTACTTCAATTAAAGGTATTAATGCATTTTTTAACAACAGAACTTATCAAAATTATTGTAATGCAAAATTAAAGTCAAAAACATCAACTTACATCTTACTAGCTGCTTCAGGTGTTTCAAAATCATGATAAAGATTTTCTACTTCTGTTAACTTATCTTCATCAAGCAACTGTAAGAAACAAACATGATTTTATGATACATATTTAAACCAATAAGGTATTTACACCGTATTTAAAACGTAAAAAGATACTTAAATTGTTAAAATAAACCTAAAAATTATTAGCAGCACGAACACGTGCAACATTTTTTAGGTTAAGTATTAAGTTACAGCTTTTAACATAATTTACCTTGAAAATTGCATATCCCGCAGGGGTTTCAAATAACACTAACATTTTGGTTAATTTATTTTCACGTTACGTCACGTTATTTAATACGAAATATCGTATTAAGGTTTTTAACAATTTTCACGTCTATGATAAAAGACGCCAGCTAGTTATAATTTCGTAAAACATTCGTAACCAGTAAGCACGGTCGTATAACACTATATACTGCAATGGAGGGGGATTGGTGAGGGTATCAGCATTTTGGTATAGTATTTAATTATTAAGCCGCATAATGGTGCTGTCATGAAACCTCCAAAACCACATGTACATGCATTTGTCATTATTCATCAGTCATCAATGAAAACTCGCTAGGGAAAACCGTCTGAAAATTGAGTCACAAAAAATTAACATCGAAGACAACAAAATTCTCGTTGTATGAGATAGACAAAGATAAATATAGTGTCTTTGTCTCTGTCTTAAACATCCATAGCATATCACGTATGTGCAGAACGAGATCCTTTTCTTGTCTTCCATTGATTTATCGTTGATTTATCACGACTCAATTTTCGGACGGTTCCTTCTATACATTTGGTTTCGGTAGAAATCAAGTATGTCGATCGAGTGTCAACGTCGAGTCAAAGTCTGTTCATATGACATGTTCGTGCTTTCGCAGTTAGTTTATATGATCATAATATGAACTATGAGTGAAGTAAATATAGCGTACTAATAAGTCATACACTAGTTATTAATTTTATACACGTACAAGTATACAATATTTTTACAATACTGATCTCCACGCCTTAGGACTAGTATTTTTGAATTATACTTGATTTTTACATTTTGTCATTATCATATCGTATAAAAAGAAGCTACAAATTCGGTGTACTCAAGACAAAGTTCAATCGCCGTAAGTTAAGTATTTTATTCATAGAAAATAAATTTAACATGTTCGAAAATAAAATTCAAAAGTTGTATTGAATGTTGTACATATAATAAGTTACATTATTATTCAGACATGATAGTATTTAAAGTATCATTGATGTATTTATAATAATATTAACAAATTTATTGCTTCTTGATACATTAAAACAAATATCACAGTTGTTAAAAATATGTATTTTATTTATTTAATACATTCTATTTAAGCTTACTTACAGAATCTGACTATTAAATATTAATGAGATTATATCTATGTATCATATTATAAACTGAAGATTGAGTATATTACTGAAGTTTATACTAAAGCATATTATTACTTATGTTCTTGCAGAGATCATTTACGAATATGTAAGACAGAATTAGCTGTTGAAGTCTTCGATTTTGTCAAATATCCTTCTTATTTCCTGATTATTAAAATAAAAAATAACTTATGGTCTAAAATGTCTGAGGTAATTTTCTAAAGTACTGATATTTCATATTTTTCATACTCACATTTAAACTGAAAAATGACAAGAGTAATTAAACACATATATTCTTGTAACCACTAACAAATTTGGAATAAACATTGCCTTTTTCTATCCTACTGAATATAATAATAAGATAAATATATAATACTATCATGGCGGGACGTGGTAGGGGAAGAGGTAAACCTTCCATGTCAATCAGTACGGAACAATTAGGCTTTGCTAAAGGAGAAGCATTACCTCCACCAGTTTTACAACCTCCATTAAAATATCCTCTTCTAGAATATAAACCATTGCCTTTAAATATTACTAAAGAAATGAGTTATTTGTTGGAATTAAAGAAAGGATATGCAGAATATATGAGAGAATCGCCTAACAATGTTTTGCCTTTAGTAATTAAAAAGGATATTGAGAGGTATTCAGATCGATATCAAGACTTGATTACTGATAAAAGTAGTTATGAGAGTAGATATGATTGGAGCAGAATGCCTATAGAATTAAAGTCTCAATTGCGAAAGCGTAAAGGACAAAAATGTGAGAACCCACAGACAAAACGTAAGAACATTGATATAGAGCTAAAGTTGCAAGAATTAGAAAAAAAAGAGAGTTTGCAACAAAGTGATGCAGAGGAAGAAGAAAAGGAGGAGGAAGAAGCAGAAGGAAAGGATGATGAGCAAGCAGAAGATGAGGAAGAAGAACTAGATGAGGAAATGGATGAGGGAACTGATTATGTGAATAATTATTTCGATAATGGAGAAGGTTACGATGATGAAGACGATAATTTAGATGATGGGCCGATTTATTAAGATAGTTTCTACAAGAATCAAAAATTTCCATTTCAGATAGTATTTTATTTAAATACCACAATTTTTTATCTTAAAAATTACTTGCTAAGATCCTTATCTTTCTGTTTCAATTTAGAAAATTTGATAATTTTATATGTATGTGAGATGTAATTTTATCATATATATATATATATATATATATATATATATATATATATAAAAGTGCATAGAAATATTTTTAAATAAATAGATCACTTAAAAAAGATACAAATTAATTTTTTCCTAATTTTTCCTGATTAAATTAGATTATTTATACTTTATAAAGTACAGATTAATACATTTTATGTTTCATAATAATATTAGGAACGCTTATAAACTTTTTAATTCGTTAAATTATCAGTACATATACATATATTAATATTTAATACAGTAGAATATGTGCTTGTATATTGTATAATAACAGTAATAATAATAAATCCCATGACAGGAATAATAACAGTACAAATATAATAAATGTAAGTACTTACATGAATATTATGTGGTATATGAATTTGTTAGGTTTTTGTTAGGTTAAAAATATAATGACATTTAAAATATTTATTCTCAAATTAGAAAGATTCATAAACAAAGATATACGTACAGATATATTTTACATAAATAATAAAGTGAAGAAAATTTAACATATATATCAGATTTATTACTATTCTAGATTAATTTAATTATTATAGATGTCAAACCTGAACAGACAAATCAAATAATAGAGGAACACGTAAAAAATGAAAATGGAAGCAAGACTTGATATACAGAGAGTTATATCTCCACATCAGTTGTTCTAAAAGATAAAAAATAATTGCAAAATTGGTTCATATGTGAACTCAAAATAATGAATATGATACATAAATAAATATATGTATATATATAGACATACATATATATACATATATCAACTATACGATAGAATGTGATAAAGTACAAAAGTTATGTTAAGTTCATGGTATTGTGTAAAAGGACAGCAGTGCAAGAACATTTCAATAACATTTTGATGATGTATGAATAAGTAACGACTTATTAACCGTTTTGTATCTTGTTTTATCGCATTAATTTTAAGTTAAGTATTCTTGTCCGGTTTTCGTAAAACTAATTTTTACACTTTCAATACAATAGTACCTCTATATGAGAGGTTATATTTTGCAAAACACATAATTACATACATTTACATCTTTTACTAAAAAAAATTCGAACGTAATATATTAAATAAAAATGACAATAAATTTTCTTATGATTTTCAGAGGATATTTAATTTTTTTAGTACAATAAGTGATTTATGAAATAAACATAGAAATGCTTCCTAACATACATGATAAAGATTACAGAGTTTTGGATTTGGTACGTCAACGTGAAATACGGGTACGTTAATATATATAATAATATATAATTACGCATTTCTTTATCTATTTATTTAGTTGTAGATATATTAATATTTATTATTTCTTAATATAAGTTTAATGGTTTCTCATAATGTCTTTATATGTTAGTATAGACTTTATTATTTTTTTAAACATGTTTTATATAAAAGTAAATTGATGTTTAATTCTATTTAAATTATTTTATTTAGGATTCAGTGGCATATGCAGTTTCTCAGAAGTTACATGTGACAGAAAATTTGATATCCCGGTTAGGACTTGAAAAAGAATTAGTTGGTCATACAGGATGTGTTAATTGTTTAGAATGGAATGAAAGTGGGCAGTAAGTATTTTTTAAATAACATAAAACACAGTCATAGAGTAACATCATAGAATTATTTAGAATAAATGTAAATATCCGTAGATAATGAGAAAATTAACTATAAATTAACTATAAGTTATATGTTTATGTATTAACATATATTTTTAGAATTCTTGCTTCAGCATCTGATGATATGAATATTATATTATGGGATCCATTTCGATATGAAAAAAAGTTAATACTTCGTACACGTCATCATGGAAATATATTTTCTGTTAAGGTAATTTAATATTATATATGTAATCTTCTAAGTACTAAAATTTTAATTTAAATAGTTATTAATTTCTATAAATTTTAAATTCTCAGAGTTTTGGAGATCAGCAGTGAGAAAAGAATATAATCCTTTTTTTGTTTTGTAGTTCATGCCAAAATCAAATGATAGGATATTGGTATCAGGTGCTGGAGATGGGAAAGTACGAGTTCGTGATCTTACGCTTCTTGAACCAATATTTTCATGTAATTGTCATATAGGTCGTGTAAAACGTATTGCTACTGCAACTACTGTACCTTTTCTTTTTTGGAGTGCTGCAGAAGATGGTCTTATTTTACAATATGATATTCGTGCTCCTCATAGTTGCAAAAGCAATGGTTGTAATAGTGTATTAGTAAATCTTGTTAATCATGCTGGTCGATATGCAGAAGGCAAGTGTATTTCTGTGAATCCAAAAAAACCTGAACTAATAGCTATTGGAGCCAATGATGCATATATACGAATGTATGACCGTAGAATGATTAAGCTTTCTCAGGTAATTACAAAACAAAAACTAAGCATTCAATAAATTTATGTATAAAAATAGTTTTATTTGAAAGAGCCTTATTCTTAAACTATGATATATTTGAAATAAACACTAATATAAACCAACATTAAATGATTGAGCAAGAAAAATTTTTCTTTGTATGTTGTTTTGACGATAGGTGCCTATTTCGTCTCCACATAGTAACTGGACAAGAGGAAATGTATGTATACGTCTAGCTGGTGGAGGTGATCCAGATGAGAATGTACCACTGGGTTGCGCACAGTACTTTATCGCGGGTTCGTTCGTACGATCAGAAATAGCGTACGCGACTCCTTTACCCTTATCTTCCTCTATTGTTATATATTACACGATCACTCTAACGAAAACTATTAATGTTTGATATTGAGCAGGCCATCTGCATTCTCGGCAACGTGACAGTAATAGAAGTCTCACTACTACATATTTAACCTTCAGTGCTGACGGAAACGAGCTACTTGTTAACATGGGTGGTGAACAAATTTATTTATTTGACATCAATAATCCAAAAAATTTGAAGACTTGCTTTGGTTACTCCTCAAATATGTATTTGGGTAATGATTATAATTATTACAATGTTTTATATTTTGTGAATCATGACTTTTTAAACATTTTGAAAATATAATAGGAAATATATATAAATGGTAATCATCATAAAATACCAGTTATGATTGGAATAATAACTTTTATATTAAATTTTATATTGTTTGCTATCTACTACAATCTTAGATAAATTAAGTTATATCTTAAATTTATATGCAACTTTAAATTCGTTAAAAACTGCTAATAGGAGATTTTGAAAAGTGCAGTATGGCAAATCATGAAGATATTACAGATTTTACCAACAAAAACATTAAAATCCTACCACCACATGTTGAAGAATTAAAACGTCAAGTAAGTTTACTCGTTTTATATAAATCTTATTTTATAGTTAAAAATATAAAATAAATAATTTTCTTTTATTGAACAATATTTTAAACAATGATTATAATAAATTATTGTAGAAAAAACGGTAAAAAATTGTATAATATTAATTTGGACTAATTTACTTGATTTATTTAATTAAATAATTCTTTATTATATCTGAAAATAATTAAATGAGTTAATTATGTTCCTTTTCTTCTCTTATTATTGTTTTTCTTTGTAGGCAAATGAAAGCTTTGAACAACAAAAGTACACATTGGCAATTAATTTATACAATAAAGCAATCTGTTATTGTCCTACTGCTGCTGTGCTTTTTGCTAACAGAGCTGCAGCATATATGAAAAGAACTTGGTATGATCTCTCCACTATTATACTTTTTATATTTCTGGATATAGATTTTGAATAGAGTTGTACGTAATTTACAGGGATGGTGATATATATGCTGCTCTTAAAGATTGTCAAACAACATTGCTTCTTGATCCTGGACATGTAAAGGCTCATTTTAGGTAATAACGATCTGTGAATATATGTTCATATATGATAACATATTCAGTTTAATTAAACGTAATATGTATAATATAATCTTGTATACAGGGTGTATCTTCTAAGATTGACCATCATTTTTCAGGCAGTTCTAACAATAACAATAATACTGTTTCATTGGCTATGATTTACAGCTGTTGATCTAACTTTCGTTCAGACATTTATTTAGCAAATTATTGGAAATGCCTGGAAATTGGTGATTAATTTTAGAAAATTTAACATATATGTAACATGTATATTATATGCAGAGTGTGTTGTATAAGATATGCCACCTGAATAACATTTTCAATTATGGAAATAAGATAAATGTTTGAAACAAAAGTTATTTGGCTCCAACTATTAGGAAATGGTAAAAACTTTTTAACAGGTGGACGTGCTTAGAAAATTTGTAACATCATCTCTTTAAATGGAACTATGTGTTTTTTGGCACTTACGACTGTAGCTCTCCATACGACAATGCTTATATCATTTAAGGTCACTCAAGCTTATGGACGTAATAATAGGTAAAAAATGAAAATTTATGATGAATGCTTCTGAAACAGAATATTTCGGTTTTAATGCCAGAATCATACTCAATCAATTCAAAATGTATGGATATGTTGTTGGTCTCTTAAAATTCTTCTATAATTGTATGCGTAAAACGTAGAACAAGGTAGACAAAGCCGTTCAGGAAATCTGTCTCGGTACAAGCATAGTACTTGAATGCAAAAATGTAGACTAATGATAGTTTAAAGATATTTATCATTTGAAACTTAATATCAGTCTATTATTCGTATTACTATTTACATAACTGTGAGAGGATTTTGATGATAAATGTCTTCACAAAATTTGTTTAGATTTTGTATTGAGTATGATTCTGTTAATAAAGTCAAGAATACTCTGTTTTAGGAACATTCATCATGAATTTTAATTTCTTATATATTACTGCATCCGTAACCTTTAGTGATCTTGTATGACTAGGGTTATTATCTTGAAGAAGGATACCATTATAGATGTCCAAAAACATATAGTTCCATTTAAAAAGATGAAATTTCAAATAACTTTTGTTTCAAACATTTCTTCTTACCTCCACAACTGAAAGTGTTAGACAGATGGCTTGTTTTACGTGATTCATTCTGTATACATATATACACATATGTGTACATATATATATATACGCATATATATATTTATAGATTGGCTCGTTGTCTCTTTGATTTACATCAATCAGTTGAAGCTGATAAAATAATTAAAGACTTTCAACAAAAATTTCCGGAATATGCATCCAACTCTGCGTGTAAAGCATTAAAAATGGATATAAAAGAAGCTATAGATTCTGGTATGTCTTTTTTCGTTATATTATATTCAAGGTTGATATGATATGTATACATATACATATTTCATATATATATATATATAGGAGGTTTTTACTAAAGTTGTTTCGGATTAATTTTTTTGAATCTATGATAGAAACTTGCAAATTTTTATATTGTTTTTTACACAAAAAAGTCTCCTTATTTACTGCAAGAAAGTTATTGAGAGTAATATTAAAGTGTAAAAATGAAGTTCATCTCATACATTTTTTAATAAGAATGGGCATCTATGAAATACGAAATTTTTATTTTCATGTTAAACTGGATATTTTTTATTTCAACAAGTTTTTACAGTAATCTGTTCTTTGAGACTGGAGGTTTAAAGTATTATTTATAGCTAAAAAGTATTTCAGTTTACTAAAGAATTAGAATGAATTAATAATTATTACTCATTTAATACGTAACATATTTATCCACCAAGCACAAGAAGTTCTATTAATCACAATAAATAATGATAGAAAAGTGGAATAAAACATCCTTTTATTCTATGACGTTTATATCTTGTAGTAATATTTCATTATATCATCCTTATATATAATGCATAGTATAAGTCTAATAATGCCATAACAGTCAATAAAAATATGCAAACGATGTACATAATATTCATAACATCCATATAAAAACAAATTTGGAATATATACTAAATATATTAACATTAAGAAAGAAGTTAAAAGGGATTCTATGAGACGAACAAAGTATTCAGAAACATTCTTTCTCCTTTAAATCCATTTTTCTGAACATTGTATATACATACACGTATGTATACATATATACAACACACATATACATATATACGACATACAAATACGTATATATATACATGTATTGAAATCACATATAACAAAGAAAAATATTTTGTAAGATTTCTGATTTTGTGAATGATTTTATACATAATTGATTCATCTTACGGTTTCCATTGATAAATAATAAAATTCTGCTTATTAATTATTTCAATATTACGAAATATTGCCTTGTTTAAGAAAACAAACATTTAAAAGGAGTATGTTATCTAGTTTCATTTTTACATGTATCCAGATATAAAATTGTATTCAGTACACCATGTTGATATCATTTAATTCTAGTATAATAAGCAGTGATATAAATATAACATAATATGTCACTAAAAATTTTACCTACTAATGTATTATTTGTATTATTTTCAAGGATTACTTGCCTGGTACAGCTAAAATATTTACTAATAGCGATATCATAACAAAATATTTTCTCTCTTTCTTTTAATTTTTTTTTAAATTTCCAAATTCCCCCAAATAATTTGCTAAATGAATAAAAAACATAAGATTTTATTTGGATATGTAATTGTATGTAGTATTGTCGTGCATATTTCCTTAAAACAGACATTCATGTATTAGATTATACATTGTATATGATGTGTTACATTATATTTATATATCTTTTATCTCTTCTTCTAGCTCTTCTTCTAGATATATTTATATACCTATTCACTTTCACTTCATAAATAAGTTTGCATGCCTTTTAATTATTAATAGTATCCTAATTTAATTCTAAAGAGCTTACTATTTTAAAAATTCGTTAAAGTTGAAAAATATTTAGTTTAATATAAAAATTAATATTATATATTACATACAATTTACTTGCATTGAATATTTTAAAGGTATTTTCATCTTTACTCCTCCATGTAGTTTCATAGGGAATAAGATCTTGTGCTGAATGAAAGAAGTCTCAAGGCCCTATTTCTTTCATAATGTCATAGATATTAATCTATAGTAGAATATATATATTGGGTTGGCAACTAAGTTATTGCAGATTTTGTCATTAGGTGGTATTGACAAAATTCGCAATCACTTAGTTAGCAACCCAATATCCTTTAATAAAATATCTTAAACATATACACAATACAACAACTAAATCTATTGTCTTATATTACGGACATTGTAGAATATAAGAACTATATAAAATTAGTGCTTTTTCTTTAAATTTTTATATTTTTGCACATCAAGTATAATATTTTAAGGCAATTAAGTACGAAAAAATAAAATAAATATGTATTCAGTACAAAAGACATGTTTTACAGAAATATAAAGGAAAAGTAAAAGAAAACTATTTGATTTAATATACTTTCCATATTTTATAATATGCACATGAAATATGAATGAATCCAAATATGTAGCTGTTATATTTGTTACATGATAGTATACTAACAATATATTTTTTATGTTCATTCTTTCAAAATATTTTTTCAATTGGTAATTAATGTAATTATTATACAATCAGGTAGAGATATTGATATGAATCAATTAATGATTCAAATATCAGAATATGAACAAGAATGGCGACGCAATACAATTGATTACAAAATGAGGTTTTGTGGGCATTGTAATACTACAACTGATATAAAGGAAGCCAATTTCTTTGGGAAGTAAGTACATTTTAAAAATAATTTAATAAATAATTTTGGAAGTTTATTAATTAGTAATGCATTTATAATTAATAATTTTTTCTTTAAGCAATGGTCAATATATTGTAGCAGGATCAGATGATGGATCTTTCTTTATTTGGGATCGTAATACCACAAATATTATACGTGTACTAAGAGGAGATGAACGCATTGTAAATTGTCTTCAACCTCATCCATCTACATGTTTACTAGCTACTAGTGGTATTGATCCAGTAGTTAGATTATGGAGTCCTTTACCTGAGGTATATGTTATAATTACTTACCAAAATTTATTTTATTTAATAAAGATAAATAAATAAGGATTGATATTTATAAAATATTTAATTAATTTTAAAAATTATATTTGAGTATTTATTTGATGTAGGATGGTAGCATAAATGAAAGAGAAATTCAGAATTTAGAAGATGCTGCATCTGCAAATCAAATACGCATGAAAAGCGATCCATTTGAAGTAATGCTTATGAATATGGGGTATAGATTTCCTGTTCAGCAGGCTGAACTGAATGAAGATGGTGATGATAATCAAGATCAATCAATTGTGCAACCTTTAAATTGTAGACCAAGTTAAATTTAAAGACAAAATCTGAAAAGTGGTATGAAATTGCAATTAAACAATTAAAGACTTATTCAGTGTTATATTCTAGAATACTAATGCTTTAATTCCAATTATCTATTTTTTTATCAATTCCTTATAGACGTTGACTTTTCCATAAATAACCTATCAAAAAATATTTGGTAAAGTGTTAAAAATATAAATTTTGAAAAGAGAAGAAAATAGTTGTACTAAATAGTTGTGAAATTCCTATCATCGACTTCTTTTATATATAATAAAAATGGGCATAGATATGTAAAGAGATAACACATTAAAAACAGACAATAGTTATGGTATAATATAATTGATTGTATTTTACACACATAATACTTATATATATATATGTTTATTATATCTATGTTTTTTGTATAAATTAGCTGCTAAACATTAAATGATTCAAAGAAATGAAAATTAGGAAAAAATGTAGAATAATATATTTTATTGTAATAATTTTTTTACATTAATTTAAAATATTATAATTTTAATTTATAAATGAATAAAAAATTAACTTTTATATTTATTTTATATTCAAAGTTTATGTGATGTATTAGCATTAGTTATGTTCTAAACTTTATATATATAAAGTGCTGTTTACATAATATTTAAAGTTTATTAATGTTATCAGTTAAGTTTGACGCACAAGTTCCCATAGGCTTTGTAGTGTACTAGTTTCTCGAGGTTCTTCTGCTGCAAGACCTAAATAAATCGAAAAACTAGGTTTTCTTTGATTTGAACCTTCAGAGAAATAATAGCCAAACACATTTGAAATTTCAGGTTGATTGTCTTGTATCTCAGATTGTTGTTCTACGTTTAATTGTTGTAATGGAGCCTGTAATAATTAATGGATAATTAATAATAACATATTTATTTATTCAATGCATTTGTTAAAAACTATATTAGCATAATATTACCTCATGTTCAAATGTATAATCAATACCAAAAATAGGAGATTTTTCAAACGCTTTTAATAACATTAAAATTTCTTTATGAACAGTATGAAGTTTTTGGATAGGATTTACTTGAAATCCTAATATATATCCTCCACTGGATTCTGTACTAGTAACGACTAGAGTTGGACCAAATTTTGAATTTTTAACAGTAATCTATTTAAAAAAGAAAGATTCTCCTTACTATATTTTTTTATTAAAAATTGTTAACATGTTTTTATGTATGTACTACATATATTACACAATATATGCACTTACATTTGCTATTATAAGATAAGGAATTGATATATTGAATTGATAATTCATATCAGCAAACCAGACTAAACGTATATTTGTTACAATAAAAGTTCCAACATTTCCCTAACAAAATAAATTTTAAAAATACATTTTTTTTAAATAGTATAAATTACTACAAATAAGAATTCAACCTGTTCTAATGATAAATTCCAAATATCTTGCAAAGTTGAATGAACTGTTTCCAGTGGTAGTAATGTTAATTGTTTATCATTAATTATCCCACTTCTCAATTTAATTTCTCGATAAATTTTTGATGAAACATATGCTCTGCAACGTTTGAAGTATTATTTAACACTTTTCTCTAATTACGTTAAATTTTAACTTCACTATAGATAATAAGTAGATAAAGACCTTTCAAATTACATATATTTGTTCTTTTTTAGGAAAAATTCTATTAAATCAAAATCTTGAAAATCTTATTAAATAAGTTAGTCAAATAACGAATTTATGTCATTGTACTTATCAAATTGTGGTAAAGATATTGAACTAATTGTTTTCTTGATAAAAGTCTCCTCTGTGTATACGATATATTATATAACATACTTACTATTATTAATTATTTCCTACTTCAATAGAAATTCTTTTTAGATTTATTTTTTTATTTCTTTTTCTACTTTACTTAATTAATTTTATATTTATTCACTAACTATATAAACCACACTTTTAATTTATACAATTCTTTAATCTTATAAATTTATTGTATATTAGTAATATATATTGTTGTGTATTTTATTTTGTTATTATACGTATAATTCTACAAATTGGTTTAAATCTGTTAAAGTATGTATAAGTTATAGAAATATTGTCATTATTATTAGGATTGTAAGAATACTGTTTTCTAATAGATAATGAATAAAAAACATATAAGTATAATAAGATAATCAAAATGCATGATAAATCAAAATATATGAATTTATCCAGAACACAAAAGCAATGACTAAAAAAATGTAAATAATAATAATAGGAAAAATCCAGGTAAAGTATCATATGTCATATTTTGTAACAGCTAAATTTTCATAAAAATAATTTTTTCATATTTTTACTAAATATAAAAAATAATAAAAGCTTCTATTTTAAAAAACAGAAAAATATCATTTTGAAATTAAATACAAAATTTAATTTTTATTAAAAAGAGTTTGACAAAAATATATTTAACATTATTTACCTTAGACATTATGGTTTCAATTTAAAAATAAAAATTAATAAAAATAAAACATATGAAGGTGTTTTTATTATGCTTAAATATTATTTACACAATCCTAATCATTTAAAATATCGTACATCCTGATGTTTGTCTTAAATATAAATATCATGTTTTAGAACAATTTATATAATAAATAATACAAATTTTAAATTTAATAGAAAGTGTACCTGTAAACACCAATAACAGATGTATAATGTCTTGTACTTTTTAAATCTTGATTTGTAAATAGAAATTCATATCTGCAATGTCGGAAGGAAGCTAAAATATGTAACGCTTGCACATGCTTTCCTTGCAACTACAAAAATAATATGCTTCTGTTAATTGCAAAACAAAAATCAAAAATGATGACCTCTTAAAGCATACTAACACTATGTATAGTTTTAGTATTTATTGTTATAAAGGTGTTATAGCCAATACCTACAGAAAAACATATTTATATGAGATTTATCATTTTTATCATACTTAAATCATACTTTATATATGTGTATATAAATATTATATTTATATATCTTAAATAGCACTAATAAATTTCAAAATTATGAAATTTAACTTTAATTATTACAAATATCTCAAAAATTTTATTTCACATTAATAAGCATGTGTATGTTTCAGAAATACATAGTTATAAAAATGATTATAAAAGAATATTTGATTCAATGATTTGAATCACTAAATTAATTCATACTTAGATTGATCTTGGGAAGAAACGAAGAATGCCATATAATTCTGAGATTAGTTATTATAAGTTTTCCAGTATCTCCTGCATTTCCTTTTGTATCTTCTATTAAGTCAAGTTTATCAACAGTAAATTCGCCCAATCGTAGTTGCATATGACTATTAAAAATTTAAGACTTTATAAATAATGGACTCTTCATTATTTCTTCGCATAATTTTATATAAAATATTAATCTATATAGTGCTATTCATTTTAACTTTTTTAATTTTCATTTTAATCACACATAAATGCACACGCACGCACACACTTATTCATATTCTTAATACATATCTGCTTATACTCTTACTCTAATTTAATTGTTAATAATTTTATAAATAGTTGTTTCGCTTAACTGGAAACGGTGAAATATCTTATAAGGAATTGTAGTTATCAAAACTTATTCTTACAAAAGTTATTTGGTGTATAGAGGAATATTAGATGGTACAAACCATTTTTTTGACAAATTGATCTTTTTAAATGGAACCCTTTATTTTTTATTCATAATATGATAGGGTTTGTTGAGACGAATACAACCACCTACCACATGATGTCATTTCATATCGTAGAATGTCATAAGATAAATTTTAAAGTCAACGTAAATCAGTAGCCGAGTCCTATGTAGTGTCATCCGATAGCGTTAGGTCATTAGACAATGCAGTAGAGTTCAGCTACCGATTTATGTTAATCTTCGGATCTAATTTATGACATTTTACTACATAAAATGACATCGTATCGTAGGTCGCTGTTCGTTTCAACAAATACTATCATATATTTGAATAAAATGTATGATTATAGATAAAAAATATAGGATTTCATTTAAAAGAGGTTACTTGACTTGTCTTTGATACTTTCCGCACTAATTTTAATTTACAAAGAAATTATTCATGCCATCTAATGCCTCCCTGTATACCAAACAACTTTTGTAAGAACAATTTTTTGATACTTTCAATTCCTCTTTAGATATTTCACCGTTTCCAGTTAAACGAAACACCCGTTACAGTAAATTTCTATTAAAAATATAAATAAAAAATGAAGAAAATGAAAATACGTATCTAATAATTATACTTAAAAGTATCACAATTATTACGTGTAAGAAACATCGAATCGAACTTCATTATCTTGCCACATTTTTGCTAAAAATATAACAATGTACTGTAGAATTCAACTATCATAAAAATCAATATCCTTACCATATCAACGAAAGTGTAACACTTAGATATATATATGTTTGTATATATATAAGCATTTAGTAATCTGAAATATTTCCAGACTTCTATTGATTTATTAATTGTCAAGTATGAAATGAAACCAATACAGAATAAATAATTAATTTTAATAAAAAATCGAGAAAGTTTCAACATTAATACTATATTTTACTATTTGATTTAACACCATTCCAGTTCGTGATTTCAAAGATCATTGAACTTGTTTTTATAAAAAATAAATATTAATTCAATACATACAAAAAATGTCAATGATCTTGAAATAAAACACAAGACTATCTTGGGGAGCTTCCTTTCTGTTGTCGTTATATAAACGCATATGTTTACAGTGAAAAATAAACATATTCATACAGTACATTAGAATGTACAAATAAAAAGAGAAATATTTTCTATATTATTAAATATTAGGTTGTTCGGGAAATAATTTCGTTTATTCATGGGAAGATGGAAAACGAATTTTTCATATTTAAAAAAAATTTCATTCTGTTATACAAACTGTTAATTTTAACTCAAGCACCTAAATTATTTTCGGTCATTTTAACGACTTTTTCAAGGTCATCGTATTTTTTTCATATTAACATGTATTTTTTATAACACGAAGTGGTGTTAAGATGAGTTCAACGACCTATACATCATGGTCTTTAAGTGACCTTGAAGGCGAAGAAATCAGTTTCAGTTTGAAGAATGCAGAAGTAATAAAAGGAAAAGGGCAATATCACTTTATTTTATTAGATGCTCAAAATGCTGGCTGCCCGCAGCAAGATACGTCTGCAAGATAATATGAATTTTTCTGATAACGTATTATTTACTAACGATTCAACTTTTACTAATCATGGAGAGTTAAATAGGTACAAGATACATTACTAGTCTACTGAGAATCCTCATTGGCTTAGAACTGTGGAACTCCAGCTTCCTTGGAGTGTTAATATGTGGTGCGACCTATTGAAAGACAAAATTATTGGTCCATTTTTTATTAATGGTACATTAAGGTGAAAGGTACAAGGAATTCCTTATTGTAAACTTAAACGAACTATTAGATGATGTTCTATATCAAGAACGATTATTAATGTGGTATCAACATGATGACTGTCCTGCTCATAATGCTCGAAGTGTATTAAATGACATGTTTTTCAACTGATGGATAGCCCGTGGTGCAAGCATTAACTGGCCAGCTCAGTCACCCGACTTATCACCAGTAGATTACTCTTTGTGGGGAACTTTAAAATCTAGTATTTATAACGATGTTCCCACGATGCCAGAAGTTATGAAAGAACGAATACAGAATGCATGTTGCACTATGAATCGCGGGAATGCCATAAAAAATGCAGCCACTCACTTATCGTGTACGGATGCGTCTTGCTGTGAGCGGCCAGTATTTTTAGCATTTAATAAAATATAGTGATATTGCCCTTTTCATTTTACTATTTCTGCATTCTTCAAACTGAAACTGATTTCTACGCCTACAAGGCCACTTCAAGATAATGGTGTGTAAGTCGTTGGGCTCATCTTGACGCCAACTACCACTTCCAACTAAAAGTGCACGTTAATATGCAAAAAAAAAAGATGACCTTGAAAAAACCGTTAAAATGACCTTCATAAGATTTTTTTACCACTATCAGTTGCACGCCTTAAAACTATGTACATTTTATTTAGTCATTTTTTCTTACTTTTAAAAATACTTTTAAAATTAACACCCTGTATATCGGTCATTTTGTTCTACTGCTTTTCACCATCTTTTGGACAATTTCAAATTTCCACGCTCATAAAAGTGCTTCTCGCTGTTGTCAAAAAATTGAAGCAATTGATTTTTTATTGCGCTTCATTTGAATCAAAGTTTATACCATTCAGAAAAAAAGAGAACAGAGCAAATGATCAGTCCGATGGTGCAAAATCAGGAGAGTATGCTGAGTATGGTAGCACATACAAAGATACATATCAATATGTGTCCTTAGTACATATTTATAGCTAACACTACATGTCTGCTTTGACAGTACTTGGTACCGTGTGCATATTTATCCTCCACTGCTCACCGGTACGATCCAAGATCGTACGATCGCACATTCCCCCTCTAACCGTACATTTGCTCGTTTCTCCAACCAAGAACTCTAAACCGAAGACAAAATTAGCAAGTAGTGCAACTATTGACCACCAGAGGCCCTTATTCTTGGTGTCCGTTTTGGCTGAATTTCGTCCATAAGCATTGGTGATCTCTCTATTGGTCTCTGACTGTGATACGCACTGACTTTGGCACTAATAACAGTGGTGATACGACATCAGCGAATGTGATCCGTGCTTTTTGTACGTCACTAATGACGAATGCACATGCGCACGCTTGGATAGTTTCGTTGACAGCGCTATGCGGCCAGTAAAGAAATTATAAATACGATATCAAAATGATGGTACCCCTTCCATAGGAGTTGCCGACATATGTATACCGTATGCATATGTATCTACGTATACGGTCGTGGAGAGTCAAGCTGCATTGGTAAGTAGATGCACGTATAACCTTATACTATAAAATAATGATAAGTTAGAGAATTTAGTTTCTTATCAATGTTTAACATAATTAAATTTAGTTATTATTAAATCTGCTAGTATGTTCACTTATCATATTTTTCTGCTTAAAATATTATCTTACTAAGACTTGTCATATTTTTATTACTACTCCATAAATATGTTCATACATATATTTTATAACAGTTACAAATATTGTAACAAAAACATTCTTTCTAAAATTAAAGAATAAATAGTTATGAATGTTAAACTTTCATTTTTTATTATAAATATATTCGTTTTTGCTGTCATTATTATGTTTTGTATTACAAAGGTATAAACAAAATGGAATATTTCTAATTTAAAAAATTTATCGTAAGCTAAAAACTGTGACTCTGTAGCAATTTTATTGTTAGTATTTGAAACGTATAGTAGTTTGAAAAGTATAGTAGTTTTTCTTCCAAATATACAATCATTGTAAATTATGATATATAATTTCATATTTCATAACAAATTTTTTAAGTTCTTTTAGTTTTTGTAATATTTTATGATTTTGTAACATAATGAAATAATTTTAATTATTTATGATAGAATACTAATTTTATTTATATATTTAAAAATTTAATAACACTATTTAAAATATTTGAAATATAATTAATATATTTTATAATTTAATGATGATAACTCTCTATATACAGGATACGTGAAAAAGCTTTGGAAATATATAGTACTTGTCAAAACAAGCAAAAGTGTCTTTATAAACATAAGTCCAAAACTAATGGTTTTTGCTTTAGGTAGATGTTTAATATATAAAACTATAGTTTATAATAAACCAATTACATTGTTATATGTGTTGATACAAGGATTCGAAAACCTGATGCCAAGAGATAAGAGAAATACTGGGGATTTTTCAATATGTTGAACTGTGTGTTGAAATAAATAGGGGACATAGTGAACATATGGTATACAGCTTATATCTTAATGACAGAAGCACCTTACAACTCAGAAGTTAGTGATTTTTGAATCCATGTTTATTAAGATTTTTTGTTTTGACTATATGTTTCTAGAGTTTTCCCCAAATTTTTTTGTACATCCTGTATAGACAATGAATTTACAATTTTCAAAAATTTTATTATGAAGAAAATGGTTTGTAACTTTGGAGTCACAAAAAATGAAATTAGATTAAAAGAATATTGATATATAAGCATGTGACTTCTAAGTTACATGGCATTATAGAGAATTAATGTGTAATGTGTGATAAATAATCATATAAATTTTAATACTCTTTTTTGTATTATATTGCATTTAGACTTACACCCATTACAATCTTAAATGTGTATAATTAATTTAACTATCTTATATCTATGTTAATTCTAATTAGTAAAATTCGAGCTACTTTATGTTATTTTTCTAAATTCAAGGTTTATCAGTATTCTTTGAACCCGATTACATTCCTTCTTATATTTTTGGACAGTTTAATCTGAGTTTCATTGCATTTTTTATGAAATAATACAGTTTCTTAATATCTCCCTTCTTTGCTGTAATAATTTGCTGTGTACTTCTTCATACATTGGATAGGTTTTAATACATGCTCTATTTAATATTTAATACGTGTCCTTATTCATTGTTCCTTATTCTTTACTGAAGCCTTCCTGTAAGTCTCAACTGTGCTTGTACTCTTTTGAATTTTATTGGAAGATTCATCGCTAAGTAATTCTATGCTTAAATTCTTTGTCTTTAGAAGCAGTATTGTATATGGATATTTCTGCTTTACTCCTATCTTCTTATATTAGACAATTTCTTATCTTTTCCAGTAAAATATTTTTGTTTCTAATTACTTTATCCTTTGTGGCTTGTTTCATCCTTAGACGGGATTTCCTAGGTGCATCCATAGCACGCGGCTATATCTGACATAGCCTTAAATTAGAACGGGCAATATCCATAGTCTATTTGCGCTAATTGCATACGTTTGATGATCGAAATGTATCGATCAAATCAGTATTTTTTCGGAAGCACTATAGACCAGTAATTCTTAATCTGTAGCCCCCAAGAAGCACACATATAAGTTATTATTTTATGATTCGAATACAAAATATTTACTACGAGCATATGTATTTATTTATTTATATTAAATCTTTTCTCTTCAAATTTGAAGGTTGTTGATGAGTAATTGATGAGTTTTTTAAATACACATATTTAAGGTATATTACAGATTTAAATTTTAAATTATCTTGGGGGTCCGCGACAACAAAAAATTATTTAAAAGAGCTCCGTGGTAAACAACAGATTAAGATGCAAACGCAATGCAATCAAACTGTACCGGACTAATCAGTCTTTTTTATTAAATAATTTTATTTAAAAAGTACATTTCTGTTTAATAAAAAATAATGATAATTAGTAAAAATGTATCCTTTTTTAACAACAATTAATGTTGTTAAATATTTTTATTTTAAAAATATAAGTTAATTTTAAAGGTTCAGACATAGGGTTTTCCACATATATTTTTGAAATTACATTCCTTTAAAAAATGCAAAAAGATCGGTTTTTTCGAAGGTTTACTCTAGAATATTTCCTTCATAAAAATTAATAACAATTAATTTTTTATGATAGAATTCAATTGCAAAACCTGTATTTTAATGCTCTATAATGAGTAACTAAAAGAACTAGTTAACATTAACCTTACCAGGCCCGGTCAACTGGCCGGCTTCAAATTTAATTTAAAACTGTACATTCATTGTTATTTTTTTTGTTCATCTAACATCATGTAAGTTTTTCACCTCCAAATTTCTTATAAATGCATAAAAATTCATGTTCTATATTTCGTAAATCTATTCATTACATTTAGTACTTCCCATGTTGTTCTGACAACTATTTTTCCTGTTCCTACTTGGCAGAGATTTTTGTTTGCCATTTTTAATAACGACTTTAGTGTTTGTAATATGCTTTAATCTTCCTTTAAGTGTCCTCTTCTTAAAATTTTCTTTGCTAGTTATTGCTATGTCGTCCCCTAATGTCACTTTTCAGCTATCATCTTTAAATTTTCTACTTCCATCTCATATTCTGATTAATTTAATCTTACCCCTTTTTAACGTTTCATCTACGCTTCCATACTTATCTTTTCTTTCTTACTCCTCCTTCTCCTAAAATCCTCCATCTATAAATTTTGATATTAATCTATGTTACAGAGATTTTAATAAATTAATATATTTAAGAAAATGAAACGAGCACGTATAAAAGCTATGGTTACTGTTCCAACCCGAAGGAAGCCAACTCAAGATGTATCCATTACTGAAGACCCTAATTCAATTGAACACAATGAGAAAAATAAAGATATATCTAATGACATTTGTATAACATCACAACAAATTTCAAAAAATGTTTTCCAAGAAACACAAATACAAGAAGATGATACAAAAGATGTAGATGATACAAAAAAATTAATACACCAAATTCAAGACGTAGGAGACCAAAAAGAGAATGAGGAATTACATGTTGATAATCAATGTAGTGAATATAAGGATGACTCTACAAAAAATTCTGAAAAATCTATGAAAGAAATTGTACATTCCCCAGAAGTTTTAAACACAACACAAATTAGTAAGTATAATGAGCTACATACAAAAATGAATAGCTAGAATTAGAATGAATGACAGTACATAAATGAATATAATAGATAGTTATATAAATTTGTACTTTGTATCATTATTGATTTCTAAATTTGTTTAAATTTCTGCATGAAATCTTTTTTTAATTTGGAATATGTAAGTACATTGTGCATTTGTATTAATACTATGAATATAATGTGTATTATTTTATAAAGATAATGATTGTTGCAAATATTCATAAAGATTCTTTTAGATTACTTGCTTAGAATGGAATTGATTTATTTAATATCAGATGAACTTTTTATAACTAGCATAAGACACTATTAATTATATAGTTTACTTAAATTTAAAAATTAACGAATATGATATTAGAAAAAAGAAATCAATCTTTTTTAATAATAGTAAAGAAGTGATAGATAATGAATAATACAAATTATTATATGATATTTATTTTTTACATAAAGTAAAGGATATAATATTATAGGTTTTATCATAGATTTATTGAGGAAGATGTGATTATCATAGAAGTTTATCATTGATAATAAGAAGAGCACAGATCAGAATATTGTCATTGTGAAGAATTATGATATTTGTTTATATATTGTTTTAGGTTCTCCTATAAAATTAACGCAAAATCGGACTGGTTTTATGAAACCAACACCAAAATTCGATAATAGTAATAGAATACGGAGGAATAGTATTCAAGGGAGTGGAGCAAGTACAAGTGAATCTGAAGATGATAGTAGGAGACTATCATGCACTATTGCTAATCATACTAGGAACGATTTAACGCAATCAACAAATAATACAAAAGATGCAGTTACTAATAATATCAAGAATAATTTAATAACATCCAAAGTAGGACAAAAGAGACGTATTTTAGTTTCAGAATCTGCAAGGAAACTAGCAGAAGCTAGAAGAGAATTTCATTTAAAGCATGAAAATAAAACCCCAGATAGAAGCAAACTTACAATGTATGATTTAATTTATTATAATCCTGTTACTAATCCCATGAAAAAGTCTAAAGACTCTGCCATATCAACAAGAAGAGTCTCAGAATGTCAGTAAGTATTCTATTTAGTAAATTATGTAATGTAAATATTTCAAGTGTATTGTAATATGTCTTAATTTTGGAGAAAATAGTTTCATAAAAACAATATATAAGTTGAAGTACAAAAAAGTGACCATTTTTACAGATCTGAAGAATTTCAAGAAGAAGAAAATGAAGATGATCCATCATCTACAATGCCAGTACCTCAAGTAAAAGTTGGACCAAATGGTGAATTAATAATAGATGAACAGAGTCTTGTTATAGAGCAAACTAATGCAAAGAAAAGTAGGAAAGTATTAGCAAAAGAAGCTATTATTGATGATGATAATAGTGGAAGTGGATTTTATAAAAAGCGTCAGAAAAGTAAAGAATGGTCCGCACGAGAAACTTTAAATTTCTATAGGGCATTAAATACAATTGGTACAGACTTTTTGTTGATGCAAAGTCTTTTTCCTAACAGAACGAGACAGGAAATGAAGATAAAATTTAAGAAAGAAGAGAAAGTAAATAGACATTTGGTTGAAAAAGCTCTTGCATATCATCAAGAATTTGATACTGAAATGCTAGAAAAGTCATTAGGTAAATTTGCATATTCTGTATTTATTTTTGAATTGACTGTGAATTTATGTTACTTCATGCAAAATATTTTATGAAAAATATAAAATGATTAGATGATAAAATATACGTAAATATAAAAACTAAACTACAAAATAAACGTAAAAACTTCATTGCTATTAGTACCAATTGGTACTAATATCTGGTAATACCAATTTGGTATTGATTAAAGAGTAAAAAATTTGTCTTTTACGCCTATATGTATATTTATACACTTATTACCATTGGATGAAAATTTCTATTTCAATATATTTTAACTTTATCTTACTGCAAATGTAGAAAACAATATTAGTTTATTGAATTAATCATATTAATTTTAAATTAGTACTCAGCTTAACAATAAATTACAACTTTTATATAAAGTATACTTAAAGTATATATTTTAATCCTAAAAATAATTTTGGCAAAATGAAGTATATAAATTTATACTTATTAATAAAGATATGTAACTAGGTGCTGAGAAACCAATATTATGTTTCTTTATTTTATTGGCTTTGCAGTAAAAAATTGAAATAGAGGTTATAAAATTATTAAATAGTTTATTTATTGATTAATATCATGATTTTAATTGTTTATTAACAGCTGCATTTGAAGCTTCAGAGAAAGAACTTTTAAGTATAAAAGAAAAACGTAAACAACAAAGGATGAAGAAGAATAAAAAATCAAGGAAACGACGAATAAGTAGTAAGTTAAAAATAAATATAAATATTGAATTTGAAGAATTTTGACATTACACTTGCTCAAATATTTCTAATATTTTCAATTGCTTACATTTTAAAATATCTTTGTTAAAGTGATATATATTTAATAAAGAATATTAAGCTACCAGTATATTTATTTATTTGTAGAATTAGCACGCAGTATTGGGATTGAAAGCGAGACTGATAGTGAAGAAGGAGAAGAAGGAGAAGATGAAGAAGAAGGAGAGAATGAAAAATGCGGCTTGGATTCAATGGTATACAAAGAAAATACAAAATCAAATGGCAAATATCAACAAACATTAAATAAGACAAATAAAAAACTTTATAAAAGACCAAGAGATGAGGAAAAGTTATTGACGGAAAGAGATGACGTAGAATCATTAAGTTCATGTAACGATGTTGACAGTGATACTGAAGTTTATCGCGTAAGACCAACAAGATCTGGAAGATTACCAAAAGTAAAAAGATTACAGGGACCAGATATAAATACGTTTGATAAGGAAAAGTTAAATTACTGCTCTAATGATCATGAAATTACAATTTCATCAGAAAATGATGCTAAAGTAACAGAGGATTTAATTTTTGACAGTATTAATTCAGAAATTCGTCATATAGATCCTCTTAAAACAGTTATACCAAATATCGGCGACGTAGAACCAGGATCCTTTGTTATTTTGTCAAAAGAATCTTTGGAGGAACCAGGTAAAAGTGTTTTGCAAGTTTATATGGTTAGTTCGGACGTTCATCCTTAAGATTTCAAGGAACCTAACATACATATGTCACCAAAACTCTTATAATTCGCAATTGTAATCATCGACTATCAAATGTTAAATCACTTTCAACAAAAAGAATACTTAATTTAATTTACATGAAAGGTTTTAAATTAACTTAATTTAATATACATATATCTCTATATCTTTATATCATTTAAAATTTCTACTGAAAATGTCACATACTTGTATATTATATTTAAATTTTTGGTTAGAATTCAAATGCACTTATGTACATTATCTGTTTATAAAAAAGCACTTGATTGTGTTAGTTCATTGTTTTAGTTAAATTTTTACTTTATTTACTTAAATTTTTTATTATTAGACTAAAGAAAATTGATTTAATAATTCCTTCATAATGTACTTTGTTTGATACGGGATTATAAAGAAGATGATAAACAGAAATTATAAAGATAAGGACGCAAATTTTAAACTTCACAATTATGATAAACGTAATATAGAACAATTATTAGTTCATGTAAAAAATTTAAAGATTGTTCTATTTGCAATCATTATAAAATTCAAATTGATACATGAATATTAAATACCACTTCTAGATCCACAAGCCAGGTTCGGATGTTTATTCTATCTGTTTTTATATAAATCTAGAATGTCCGATCGTAACTCTGCCTATTAATTATTGCCAGCATATATTGTTATACAGTAGCACATTCTTTGGAGAGTGCCATTTTCTATACAGTGCATTAATTAAGTAATAATAATGCTAATTCTTTAAATGTGGCCTGGAATACATTTCAACTTTTGAATGTAGCCGTGAATTATAAATGTGAATGGTTTGACTGTTATATTCCTAGCTTTTGAGCTATAAATATTTATATATGTTTTTTTTATGATTAATTGCTAAATTTAGACAATATGATGAGTATTAGACTACTTTCCTAAAGATTCAAACGAATCATACAATACATTTGTAATTTTATAATCTTGTCTGATGCTTTTATGTATTTTTATGTGTATTAAGTTCTGTTAAATAATTTTCATACATTAGATTTTAGCAACTATCATGATGCATTGAATAAGGTTGTAGTGTTTAACATACCCTCTTAAGACTATCTATCAGAGTTCAACTTATTTTAATTACATTGATGTTATCTATATTGTATTTTATTATCATTTTCTAAATTGCATAATATTCTATCACATTGGAGCAATTTAGGAAATATTGTAAAATGCTGATTTTTGTAACATTTTTTACATGAACATATGTTGCTTATATATATTTTAATAGTAGTTTATTATATATAAATTTTATTAGTAGTTTAATTCATCATGGCTTTATAAATATCAAGCAAAGAAATATTTTCTGAAAATTTCATTTATGTAAATATGAATTCGATTGTAATTGAGTTAAATTAATTTTTAAAACTTGACCAAAATGTACAAGCTGCATAAAATAAAAATGTCATGATCACCACTGTGAGATTCTATACCTCTGGATCGATGAAGATTTGTTTAAAAAAGTTCCCGAAAAATTTACCTTGATCTTGAATTTCAAAATCAGATTTTGTTTTACTTACGACATATTCTACCTATCACGAGGACTAAATTTTTCAAAGAAATCACGGGTCAAAACTCAATCGTTCTCTTCAAAAATAATATTTAGAAACCATCAAAATTAAGCCATGAAGTTAGATGTGTTATTTTATCTAGGATGGGTTATCTCACATGCTAAGGAATAACTTCCTGTTTTCTCATTAATATCACGCTATTTACTTCTTATCTGACTAAGAAAGATAAACAACACAAATAATGTCATTAGAAAAGCCAAAGGAATTTTCCAAGGGAACAGTTGAGTTCCAATCTGTGGTTCCTGTAACAAGTTTGGTCCTTATAATGAATAGAATATGATGCACCAAAAAAAAATTAGCCTTGATATTCAAGGTCACAGTCAATTTTGCTGCAGCTTTATTTAACAACTTTTTTTAGCAAATGATGGTCATGACATTTATTTTGTATGCACTCTGTACATATTTGCATCATTATGATATTGTAATTTGATTTTAATTGTTTAATATATATACTTACCTGTTAATTCTCTATACTCCACGCTTGGCTTATAAGTATAGGATTAGTATCTGTGATGTTATTGCATACTTCTCATGCATTAGCAGGATAAGGTACACTTATGGGAGTTAAAGAACTAAGTATTTCATAATTTTGCCTTTATCATGTTCAACATCCAGGACACCTTCCACAATTATAGATAACTACAAAAGTATTTTACTCATTAAAATCAAATTTATCCCATTAGCAATAAAGAATAATGTGCGAAAATAGCAAATTTGCATTATTCAATAAATGGTATATTTTCCTTGTTTAGAAATATTACTATTGATAAGAAAAGTGCTTGTTCGAAGTTATTAGTACAAAAGTTAAAATAATTTTGTATAATTAGAAAATTAAAATAATAAGTAATAAGCAAGCAAGTAATAATAAATAAGCAAGAAAGTTTGTATTTAACTACTTTTCAAAGAAAGATTTGGTGAATTTGTAGAACCATTCCGTCCTTTCCGATTTCTATAATTTTTGAATATTTTGTAAAGTTCAACAGTTTGAACAACATTTTCGTACACGTGTAACGGAGTCGATTTCGCTTATTTTACAAGATATTCGCAAAAAAACTGCAGGTACCACTAGAGTGTATTTCTGTGTATAGTTGTGCGTCTGTGGCTGCGTATGCGTTAGTGTTGATTGTAAGCCATCGGCAGCTTATTTTTTATTTATAAACAAATATCTACAACATATATGCGAAACTGCAAGAATTGTCTCTTATAATTGACTTAAAAATGAATATCATCAACGTATTGGGTTTGGATTAATTTTCGTAATTCGGCCGCCACGAGTCTAGTAACGCTTGCGTGAAATAATAACAAATTAATTACAAAAATAACAGACCAATGAATAATTGATACTATTTTACGAAATAGAATAATCGTTATATTTCATGGCAGCCATCTGCTTCGCAGCGATATTGGAAAGTTTAATCCAAACTCAGACCCCACTCATTAATGATATTCACTTTTAATTGAATTATAACTTATAAAAAGACTGCATTTCTTACAGCTTTGTATATGCACGTTATGCACGGGGTCTTTACGCTCGTCTAACTCTCTTTTATAAACAGAAGATAAGCAGCCGGTAGTCGGTAACTCATACTAACGCATATGTTGTCACAGATGCACAACTACGAACAGAAATACTCTGTAGCGATACCTGTAGTTTTTTGCGAATATCTCGGAAATTAAGCGAGACCAACAGTAATATGTAAAAAGAACAATTGCTCAAAATGTTGATTTCTCAAAGTTCTACAAGTTCACCAAAGATTTGTTTATCTTGATTATAAATATATAAAATGATATACGAATTCATAGTAAACAAGTTTCTTTAAAAAGTGTAGTTTGAACTTCTTCAAATATAAAAATACAAATTTTAATTAAATTTTGTATAAAGAGATTTAAATTAATTTTGTATATTATGGTGCATAACATATACCTTTTCCTAATAATGTTAGGTTTTTATAATAATATATGTATATAAAATATATAAATATATACTTGAATATTAATGCTATATATATTTGTTTATTTATTTATTTTCTGTTAAAGGATTGATTTAAATTTGGCCAAGTTCATACACTGACAAGTTTTTCGGCTTTGAACAATAGCCTACCTGTGAGATACAAAAATCACATATACTATATACATTCAATACATATGTATTGTATATATTGGGTATATATGTTGATATATATTGGGATAGTAAAACTATCCCAAAGTAAAGTACAAAAGATCGATATATGAAAATATTTAAAAACCAAATATATTTAGAAATGTATATATGTATGAATTAATAATTATTATATATCCTTATTTATTTTTCGGCTTCACAACTTTAGAAAAGAACTTGGTTTACATATTTCTAGTTTTCACTCATCCCCTTACAGCTCCTAGAATATCCATCATAATCCGAAACACAACCACCCACATTCCCATGTCAAACATATATCCCCTTATACAGAGTGGTTGGTAACTGGTGGTACAAGCGGAAAGGGGGTGATTCTACGCGAAAAAAGAAGTCGAAAATATAGAATAAAAATTTTTCGTTTGAGGCTTTGTTTTCGAGAAAATCGACTTTGAATTTTCGCTCGGTACGCGTGCACTTTATCACGTCTCGTTTTAACGGATCTCACTGTAAATCGTTATCTCGATGGAAAAATTAAAAAAAAAATTAGAAAAAAAATTTTTATTCTATATTTTCGACTTCTTTTTTCGCGTAGAATCACCCCCTTTCCGCTTGTACCACCAGTTACCAACCACTCTGTATAAGGGGATATATGTTTGACATGGGAATGTGGGTGGTTGTGTTTCGGATTATGATGGATATTCTAGGAGCTGTAAGGGGATGAGTGAAAACTAGAAATATGTAAACCAAGTTCTTTTCTAAAGTTGTGAAGCCGAAAAATAAATAAGGGACAGTCAACAGCGGCGATTAGGCCCTCGCGACACTAGTGATAGTGGTCTTAGGTTCGATAACGAATCCACGGTCAACGGGAGGATGGATATGCTTGCTCTAACTCAAACGTGTACTGATCGTAAGGAGCTATTCCCTTCCTCGATGAGGTCTCAGTCAGGAATGCCTCTTCGTCCCAACGATGCCACCGAGATAAACTCTGGTGGGGTATCTAAGTACCCAAGATCCTCGGATCGACGTCGCTGTCGATTGTTCAATTTGGGACAGAAGCTGCCTGTCCGCTTGCAAAACATCTTAATTGCCGAAAAACCCAGGTTTTATAGCGGGTCCTCGGGCTGCCGGGACTTGTGCTGTGTACGTGCCTCAACCTCAGGTATTACTTGTCCTAAGGAACTGTTAGCATGTTTTACTGTCCGATACCTCTATAGGTAGTTCCTTCAATGAGGGTCATAACACCGCTCCGCACCTTTGTTAGACGGAGCGCCCGTCCCGTTGGGCGACAGGCTGTCGCCCCGAGCCAAAGCTCACCGTCACTAATCCCGGACGGTTACCATCGGCTTGGATGACTGCGTATATCCACAAAGCTACAGATTACATATATATGTCAGAGAAGCGTCAGTAATAGAGTTGTGGGCGTTTGCTAGACCTCTCTTGGAGCTGGCCAGGGTCGTGTTATAACGAAGATACGGCCTGATACAACGGGTATGAACACTACCGATTCGACAGTCAACAGCGGCGATTAGGCCCTCGCGACACTAGTGATAGTGGTCTTAGGTTCGATAACGAATCCACGGTCAACGGGAGGATGGATATGCTTGCTCTAACTCAAACGTGTACTGATCGTAAGGAGCTATTCCCTTCCTCGATGAGGTCTCAGTCAGGAATGCCTCTTCGTCCCAACGATGCCACCGAGATAAACTCTGGTGGGGTGTCTAAGTACCCAAGATCCTCGGATCGACGTCGCTGTCGATTGGTCAATTTGGGACAGGAGCTGCCTGTCCGTTTGCAAAACGTCTTAATTGCCGAAAAACTCAGGTTTTATAGCGGGTCCTCGGGCTACCGGGACTTGTGCTGTGTACGTGCCTCAACCTCAGGTATTACTTGTCCTAAGGAACTGTTAGCATGTTTTACTGTCCGATACCTCTATAGGTAGTTCCTTCAATGAGGGTCATAACACCGCTCCGCACCTTTGTTAGACGGAGCGCCCGTCCCGTTGACCGCGGCTACGTTGGCAGCGACAGGCTGTCGCCCCGAGCCAAAGCTCACCGTCACTAATCCCGGACGGTTACCATCGGCTTGGATAACTGCGATTGTTTCATTACGGCTATAGTAGACTCTAGATTACAATGTTAGGAGGTTATCCTGAAGTTCCAGAGGGGCCCCGGCGTCCTTTCGTCTCCGACATATACATATATCTTTATTTCTCTTAACCTATATATCCTATACTTAACCTATCTATTATCACATATTTCTCTTTGGCTTGCAATCACTTCAGTAGCTATATTCTTACGCCTTTTCTCCTAAACTCTTAACCAGTTTTTCATTGTTTCGTTAACTCTACTTTCTGCCGTATTCTTTTCTCTTAGTAAACTAAAATCTAATCTATAGTTGTCTTTTAATAACTGCTTCAACGTACCCATCTCTAAATTACGTAAAATATATTTTCTTTTTTCTTCTGCCAACCAATAATTGTTTTCCTCTTTCACATTTCCGCATCTTGCCCTTGCCATTAGCCTCTTGCTGCCTTCTCTTCCTTCCTTTCCCGGATATTTCGCTTTGTCCGCTGTTCTTATGTATTTGTATTTACTATTATATTTGGCGTTCCAGATTTTATTATATCACAATTGGCCTTGCAACTCTTTGATCTTTTCTGTCAGAACTTTTATTAACCCCTTCCCGTACTTTATCGAGTCAGACTCGCGATGAAGATTTTGGCCCAAACATGAATATCGCGACCAGATACTTGGGCCAAACGTAAACATAACAAGCCGAGCTCGCGGACTGTTTTTTGCCCGTTACGATCGTGACTGAATGTTAGTTCCTGTCAGTACCTCATAACAGTTAGTCACAATTCTTATCGTTACTGTTACGAAACAGTTCAATTATTAAAATTTAAGAAACCCCTTCAAAATGGAAGATACAAAAGTGTTAAATGAAGACAGTGACAACGAATCCTCTGATAGTAACGTGATTATACCAGTCGCAAAGCGTGTAAGGTGTATGATTATACATGAGAGTAGCGAAGAGGAAAGTACGACACGACAATCATGGATTTGGCAAAAAGTAAAAAACACACCAATAGTTCGGAAGTATTCTGATCATCATGGAATAAAAGCGTCTGTCTTAAATAATGTAAGCGACAATCCAAGAATACTAAACCTGTTCTTTATTACATTTGATAACAAGTTTTGGGAAATCCTGGTTACGGAAACAAATCGCTTCGCAGATCAGACAATACACGACGAGCTTAAAAAACGGTATGTGGATGACACTTGGTATTCTGTCACTTTAGACGAAATCAAGGCACTTATGTACTATGTATTTTGATGGATCAAGTAAAAAAATCAAATATTCAACTTTATTGGACTAAAAGAGCTGTATTAGAAACGCCAATATTTAGGCAAACGATGCCTTTTATGAGATTTTTACATTTTTCCGACAATGAAACTGATGATAGTAAAGACCGACTTCGCAAGATAAGACCTGTAATTAATTTTTGGAATCAAAAATTTAAAGAAATTTACACACCCAATGAATATGTTAGCATAGATGAATCCTTGATGAAATATAAAGGGCGTTCAGCGTACAAACAGTTCAATCTGTCAAAAAAAGCTCGGTTTGGAATAAAAATTTACAAGTTGTGCGAGGCAACTACCGGTTTCTGTCATGGTTGTAAAATATATACCGACGATAGTGCGTCGGAGAACGTTGTGATAGAGTTGTCAAAGTCTAATAAACGAAGGATATACTTTATTCTTGGATAACCGGTACTCTTCACCCAACCTGTTTCTAAAATTACATCAGCAAAAGACAAACGTTATCGAGACCGTACGCAAGAACAGAAAAAATATACCACAAGACTTAGAAAAGCATATTTTGAAGAAAGGAGAATTTGTGTGGAGATCTTGTAATAATTTGATAGCTCTGCGATGGAAGAACAAGCGCGACGTTTATATGCTCTCCACAAAACACAGAACTATAGAGATGGTCGAGCAATCAACCAAACAATTACAGAAAGTAATGAAACCGAAATGTATCGTGGAATATAACAAGGGTATGGGTCCAGTTGATCATCAAGATCAGATATTAGCCTGTTTGCCAATAATGAGAAAAGTCATGAAAGGATACCGGAAGCTTTTCTTTTACATATCAGATATGGCTTTGTTCAATACCTATATTATGCAGAAAACAATTTAGAGTCGAAAACGGGAGACTTGTGTTGATTACCGTGTAAATATAGCGGAGGCAATTTTACAAATTGTTAAATTATTGAATTACAAAATGCGTGGGAAATCATCAGTTGAAACACCTCTTCGACTCCAAGCTCAATATTGGGCTCATTTCCCCAAAAATATAGATCCGACACCTCGGAATAAGCATCCAACAAGGACGTGCAAAGTCTGCTATAAACATAAAATTCGAAGCGCAACGAAGTGGGAATGCGCGAAATATAAAGTGGCTTTACATTTGCCAGAATGTTTTAAAAGGTATCGTACCATGGAGGATTTGTAGAGTTTTACGTATTTCCTTTTTAGATATTCATTCAGTTTTATGATTAAATTTTATATAATTTTAAATAATTTTATGACAAAATATAATAAATTTATAATATCTATAAAAGTAAAAGCATAAGAGTTTACTTCCTCAACAGCATTATCGCGTAAAATTGACTATACCACTGGTATCGCGGGCATCTACATTTCGGTTCGTATTGCGACTGTTTACGAGCATCAGTCTGGTCTGTTTAGCGCGCGTCGATGTCTACCGCTTGGGCCCGAGTTTCGTCGAACTAAATGGCACGGGAAGGGGTTAAATAAACTTCCCGCTGCCTCAGACTTCTCACACTTTAGATAGCTGTAGTCGTTTCTCCAGAAGTATTCTTTCTCTTTTTCTGCTATTTTTTGTTTCTCCTATTGCTCTTTCTTTTTCTTTCAGGCATTGTCTAACGAACACTCTACCTACACCCTTTCTAATAACCTCTTCATATCTCAGAGCTCATTCCCTTGTTTCAATTTTCTCTCTCTCTCACACTTAGTTTCTTCTAATATTATATACTCGGGTGTGCAGTAATCTAAATGTAAGCACTACTTCAGCGATTTATTAAGCGATCAAACATAAGCAATCTTCTTTTGAAATCATCCTTAAACTTTCTTACTTGTATTCCCCAAACTTGTCTCATTGGTACCTTTGCATTCTTTACACGATCTGTGATAAGGCTAAACATAACCCCAAATTGGAGAAAAGAACGCACGCCTAAATGCATAAACTCCCCTGGACGAATGTATTGAAAAAGAGATAAATCCGAGCAATTTCTGGAATACACCTCTCTGGATAGTGTTCGCCACAAGGACCCGAAATAGCGAACATTAAATGTAGACATCTCTCTTTTGACATATACAGAGCATTTATTTTATTTTAATACAGTGAAATATCTTTTGAGAAAATAATTTTACGAAAAAGATGTTTTAACATTTCTACATCTAAATTCAGATCATTTAGATCATAGATCATTTTAGAATTCTAATATCTCAAATGATATGAACTTAGTGAAAAATATATTTAAGTATTATAAAAGTACTGAAATTTTCTGTTAGACAAATAAGTTTCGTTTTGAATTTTAAAATATTGAATTCTATGATATGAGGTTACAAATTACATTAGAACAGCATAGTATAGCGCTCATATATTAATAACAATCGATCGCGTTTATAATAAAATAGAAATAAATTTCGTTTTACAAGCTTATATTGCAAGTTATACATTTATTTATATCACCAATAAAAATACATAGTGTGTATGTTGTACAAGTATAGCAAAAAAGTTTTAATAACATAATTCTAAGGTATCACATGGTATCCATTTTGAACTTTCTAATGCATCCCACAAGTTATAATCTTGTTCTATTATTTCTCTATTAAGTTTATCGATGTCTATGGGAACAGAATGTTCTATAAATAAAAAAAAAATTATGTTTACTATATTATAGTAAAATAATATATATAGTAATAGAAAATATTATAGTAAAAATTTCCAAGTATATTTTATGTTTCGTGAGTTTAAAAAATTAAAAAATATACTTATAATAATATAAATTATTTTTTGTTGAAAATTAAACTAAATTTTTTTGTTTAGAGAACAAAAGCATAAAACTAAGTAAACTTTTTTAGATTATACATTAAATATTATTCACTAAATAAAGCATATCGTCAATGATATTAATCAGAACAAGGTTAATGCTATGTTAAGTATTTATCAATGAAATGATATTGCTATATCTATAAAAGATGTGTTTCATACCAATTAATTCCAATTCATCTTCTTCAGGTTTTTGATCAGATATATAGCTATTATATCCATCTGATGTAGGTTCACTTTCATAATAACCTTGTTGCCATGCACTGTAACTGTTCCAGTAAGATGATGTGTCATAGTAATTGTAAGCATCTGAATTTAAATTTGATGGTGTATATTCTGATGATGATTGTGGAGGTGTTGACCTGAAGAATAGGAAATTTATTTATTGATACTATATTATAATTTATGTTTTATAGATAAAAAATTAAAGTATTATTTGCACACCCTGATAATTTATTCCAAGGCCTTGGAACAGCATTGCAAATTTTTAATGATTTTGTTCCTAATCCTCTATATCCATTCATAGTAACTAAACTATTCTTCTGCTCTTCTTCATTAGCAAATCTGACAAAACCATATCCTTTACTAAATCCAGAACTGTCTAAAATTACTTTTGCTGTTCTAATTGAATTATATTTAGCAGCAAATGCTCTATATAAAGAATAATCATCTACATCTGTTGATAAATCTCCAACCCAAATACTAAATTCTCTTTCTGTTGTTGGTTTTCCTGTGGTACTAGCATGATTTAATCGGAATCTTACAGCCTAAAATATAGAAGGCATAAAAGTTCAAACTGATGCATATATTAATATAAATGAAGATATAATAATTTATCAAAAATATTGCATTAAAAATTTTTAAATCCTTACTGGATTTGAACCAGGTATCACTTTGCCATTTAATTTATGCATTGCATCAAGTGCCATTTCGTCAGTTGGAAAATGTACAAAGCAATAACCTGCAGGTTCACCAGTGTAACGGTTTCTCATTACTTTAACTGTTTGTGGTTGTTCTCCCATTTTATGAAAAGCATTCATTATAAAACTTTCTGTCATATATGGTTCTAACTAAAACAAAATATACTTTCAACTTCATTGTAAAACATAGATACAAAATATAAAAAATATATTTTTGTATAAAATAATAAGTAGTCTTTACTTACGCCACCCATCCATAATTGACATAATACCATAGGTCCAGACATTTTCTTGTTTATAATTGTTTAAAACAGAAAAATCTCGTAAAATTCTGCAATGAAACAAAACAATTCATAATTTTCATCACTTAAATGATAGCTATCCAGTTTATCTATTTTTATACAAATAGGATTAATATTATATTTATGTATTTAATTTTATGCTGTAATCTCGTTAGTGTACTATCAATTATTATGAACATAATATAATGCATATGTATAAGACGTAATGTTTTATTAAAGTTGTTTACTATAAGAAGAGGTTAGAATCTAGATAAATTAACTCCTGTCTAAATTTGGATTCATTTAAACTAATATAAATTTAAGTAAAAAGATGTTATGTTATGAACTTACTGTTTTCATTAGATTTCTACTTTAGTAACTATTACTTTGTATTAATTAATATAATAATGATTATGTAAACTGTAATTATTTAAAATAAATTTTGCTCTCTTTATCGTCAAGTAAGTATACTTGTAATGGTTATTCAGTTTCACTGTTTCTATATAAAATAATTAACAAACATTACTTATCATTTGAATACTACTTATGTAGTATTCACCAGATGGTATGTAAGTAAGATAGTAAATAAGGAACATAAAGAGTAAAGTAACGAACATTGCTAGTTAGCGTCTAACCTCAAACCAATCACGACTATAATTTTAAATGTCAACTTTTAGGAAAACTATTTTGAAAAAATTAAAATTTCTAAAAATATGGTGGTATAATTACTTATAACAATAATTTTTATGGAATTAATCCTTGCATCTCATCTTGTTTCAACATATAAAAGCTACTTTAGGTACAGTACTTGAAATGTTAAGACATGTTAAGACATAATTTGAATTGAATAATTGCGAGAAAGCTCTGTAGTAATTGATTTTTGTATAATAATTGCAATTTGTTAACAATTGTAATAATAATGAATGTCAAAATTGAAATTTCATATTTATATACAAAAAATTATTTATAATTACTCTAATGATATGATGATCAACTAAGAAAAATTATTTATCAAAGTATTGAAGTTTTCACAGTCAAGAAATTGGGTTAATAACTTTTTTGCCTCAAAAAAATAAAACATTTTTCATAATGTAATCCATATATTGCCTATGAAATAGCAAAAAATAATGGATTTCAATGGGATTTTGATTAAAACTATTGGAACATTTTTGTTAATAAATATATTTTTGTAAGAAACAATGAGAATTTATTTATATGTCTATATACCTAGCTTTTTCATATTATTTCCCTGAATGACTCATTTAAATTTCATGAAGAAATTATTCCAAAATAGATGTATTGTATCACTAATAACTTTGCTTGGCTTGAAAATATATCCATTTTTTTATTTCTAAATAGTTCATACTGTGACTTAGACCATATGAATTTCATTACATTAACATATATGGTATCATGTTTGATATTAATGACATAGTTATCTAGAATGGATAAATGCTATTGAGAGAGAAAATGTATATGTGGATGTTTTGTTTTAAAATCGAAAGTTTGGCTAATAGTTTCTATTTCTCTATAATGTAAATTTATACTTTCCAATATCAATTTGTAACTTAATTGTAAAAATAAGTGTATATTGCAAACAAAATTATTTTTATTTGAATATTTTTTAGTCTTTATGATGATTTTGCATGTATTCAAATGTAACAGTTTAGAAAAAATGTTCAAATTATTGTCCTATAATATCAATGTAGTTTTAAACTTAACTTATTTATCAAATTTAAATTAACAAATTTTAACATATATCACTTTTCAAACAAATAGGTGTATCAAGAACTTCATGTAAGAACTATACATAAGATCTACAACTTTTCTGCCACAGAAGACTTAGAGTTTACACACAGACATAGATCAAATCTAAGCATATTACAGATAAGTAAGAACATTTATTTTGATTACTGCTTTGGTCATAGATAATATTGGCCATAATAGAGAAATAGAGAGAAATAGAGAGCTAAGAGAACAGTGCATGACAAATGTAAATCCAGTAAATATTTTTTTTTATGAAAATATTTAAAACAAAATAAAAATCATATGAAGAATCTTTATTGAGAGTTTTATAGAAAAGAAAAGATGACTTAAGTGATATAAGAACAAATTTTGTACTATCAAATCTTATTTAAATACTCATTAAACTTGACAGACTAATATTCAAATCATAAGTTTAAATATATTTACAAATACTAATATTCCAATATTTAGAAATATGTATATAGAGTATCCCGTGTAAGTAGGATAAACTACATTTCTGAAACTGTAAAAGCAAGAAAAAATTTTCATTGGACAAAATTAGATAGTTTGAACAATATATGACCTGGTATATATATTCATCTTGAAAGTGATGCCATTTTAGAGATTTTAAGATCATTTCTATTCTTTTAAATAGACATAACTTTTTGTATAAGTATATTAATTGATGTGTCTTTTAATCTTCTATATAATACAAAGGTATTAGAAAACTTGTGTCCAAAAATGTTTAGTTTAAAAGATATTTTAATTTTAATTTAAATTGAGTATGAAAGATAAAAGAAACATAAACATAAAATACTGTCTTCCCTTGTCCTTCATATGGTAAGTTTTACAAGATTAAAGTTAAAATATCTTTTAAACTAGTTAATTTTCTACTTCTATATTAATACTTTTCTAATAGAGAATATAAGGTTCCATCGATTAATGTATGTAAAATTTTATAATTTTTTATTTTAAAAAGATGTGATTTTTATACATATATTCAAAATGCTACCAGTTTTATAGTAGACATCTACACTAGATCATAAATAATTTTTAATTTTGTCTAATTCTTTCCCATCTTCTATGTTTCAGGACTATAGTTTATCTTAAATAATATGGGATGTCCCCCGGATAGATTGCAGAATTTACAATTATAGAAAAACATGTTGTTATAATTTGTTTTATGTTTTCAAATTTGATACAACTTATTACTGTCATAATGTTAGTATTTGGTAAGAATACCATTTCTGTTGTATAAAAAAAATTTTATTACATTCTTGATTGTGTAAATAATTTTATGAGTCCCAACTAATCACTTAATTGTTTATATCACCATTAATTTTATAGCAAAGCGATTTTTTTTATGTAAATATTATCATCACAGTCAACTTTTTCTTTAATGATACAAAAGTTTAAAGTTTTGATACATTATTAATAGTTTCATTAAGAATAATAATAATTTATCAGAACCTATACTTATGTATACAGAAATACAAATATACAAAAAGTTTAGTAAGATAAGTTACTAAATTATAATATATATATATATAACTTCCTGTTCTTAATAATCTTTCCTTAAACAATAAATACATTCAATATTTATGTTACAAAAGCAATTTCTACTAAATCCATCTTGAAACTGTGATATAAATACACAAACATAGAATTTTTTATGAATATATTATATGTGCTATACAAATCTCTTAAAAATTTTGTTGATATTGCAAGTATTACAATGTATGACAATTGCAAGTATTACAGTAGAATTTGAAACCAATCCAGAAATGTATATAGAAGTTGCAAGGCATTTATTGTAAATATTCATTTAATAAAGAATTAATATACAGCATGAATAGTAGTCTTAAACAATAATTACCACTAAAGATTATACATGATGTCTTGTTTTCTTATGTTTATAAAAATTACATAGCTTTCTTAATAAATATAAGCTTCATAGGATAATTATAATCTACCCAGATACTTGATATATAAGTTATTTGTTCTTTTCTATATTTCCTTTTCCAGAAAAATTGTAATAGTTGTGTACGAAAGAGTTAGAATTTGTACATCTTAAGTAAGGATAAGAATAATACAATAATAAGTAATACTTTGGGATAACCTCCAATTAGGTGAGTCCTTAAGAAAACTACATTTTACTTCTGCATATGCATATATAAATTATTAACAAATTTTGTACAGAATATTCTCCTATTTATACTAAATATTTAGGACATTGTAATAAAGATTTATTACGTTACATTAAAAATATTAAAAAGTCGCTGGAGAGATTAGAGTTATAAAGACTACATAACAAACATTTTTCTATTTTTCTATAAGCTATCATATAAATTAGCAAACTGAACAGTTTAATGTTTATTTACACATTTGTAAAAAATATTACAATTTTCTGAAGTCACCGACATCTTTGCAATATTACTCCGTAAGGTTAAGAAAAAAATAATAAAGAATAAAAGAAATAATAAGTAAGAATAAGATGGAAAAGGAGAAGGGGAAATAGAGCAAGAGAATCATTACGAATATCTAGTAAATTCTTATATTTTAAATTATCCATACCAGGTTTTCTTTAATATCATACATGCATATATATATATACACATACATATACATACATATACGTGTACATATATAGTCGTAGTATAATGAGAATTTATAATAGTAAAGGATGAAATAGTGCCATAGACATGTAGTTACGAATGATATAGATAAATCATGTTCATGTATGTACACATATAGTGTTCCGACATTTGCTATATCTTTACAAATGAAATACTTGTCTTTTAATTGAATAGTAAAGCAAAATTGTGGTTTGTAATTTATTTAATATTTTGAGATCTTTTACTTTTTTGTTAAAAAAATATGTGCCTACATAAATATTTCTGAAAACTTTCTTCTTCATTAACTTTAATGATAATTATTACTAAATACATTTATATTTCTTTTCTTTCATAAAAATATGGCTTTTGAAATAAATAAAATGTACTAATTATTATTTTAAATTAATGTGAAATAGTTATCATTGTTAACGAATATAATTTTTCCTCAGTGGTGATAATGAATTGTGATATCACGGCAAATAAACATGGCGCTTATTTGATACCGGAGTCTTTTACTTGGACTAAGCCGCAAACGTTGTTTCAATTTATATCAAGTTAGCAATTTCATTTTCCGCATTTTTTCATAGATAATTCAAACTATTTACGATACGGTGAATGTATCGTCTATATTTCGAACTGTTTTTACGAGGAAACGTTTGATAGACCTGAACGTCATACATGTCAAAATGGCCCGGGAATATGATCATTTATTTAAGCTTCTAATAATAGGAGATAGTGGTAAGTGCACAAATTTTCATTGCTGTTAAATATATTCAATAATAAACAAATATAATTGTACGGTATGATAAGTTAAAAATTATACAGAAGAATATAATGCTATTTATATTTTTAATAAAAAATAGACAACATACATTTATCATAATCAAAATTAGGAGAAAATTATATTTCATATGATAATAACAAAAGAAGAAATTTTCATTCAGGAAATTTTTACTTTTCTAAAACTTCATTAAAATTTGCTATTTACAAGTGATTTTCTTTTTAATGTACAATTAAAAATATACATAAGATTTCTTAGAATTGTATAATTAATATTATTAAGTAAATTAGTAATTTATATGTATTTATATTATGTTACAAGTAATTATAATGAACAAGTTCGTAATCTTTACCGTGTAACAGTCTTTGAAACTTTTGGATATATTATTATATTCCAAAATATTTTGACAATCTCAAAAAATGCTTTAATATTCAATATTGAATGCAGTTTTGTAAAACTTTGATGTTATAATAATATAATAAGATATAGATAATAAAATAGAATGAAGTGTTATTGTGTACTTAACATAAATGAGTCATTAAAATTCCTTTTTAATGAAGACAATAGAAATATTTTTCCTATATATTTTTCCTATTTATTTTATTAAATTAAAAATTTTTAAGGATATTATTATAAGAACTAAGCTAATATTTTGTTTAAGATATTATGATATAGCTTATTACTAAGTATTTGAAAATATACAGTTTTAATGAATTTACAAAATTAATGTAAATCTTCCAATTATTTCATTATTTAATGAAAAGAACTATTTTTTGTTACATTTACATAATTTATATTTATATTTTTTCATTTTATTAAGTTTGTTAACTTAATTTTGATTAGTGATAGCAGATTATGTTCAATGTTATGATTTTATTATTAGTTTATCGTACTGATGGTTCCTCCATTTGAAGAATTATCTTGAAGACTATAATATCAATAATATACGTATATGCAAAGTAAAATAAATGTATATATTATATATTCTCTTATTGTAATACATATTTGATTTTAACTAACAAGAAGAAACAATGATATAATTATTAGTTTAGTCATCAACTTTCTTTTTCTAATTTGAGATGAATCTAACAAATCTGAATATTCATATACACATTTTATTTGAAAACATGTTTAGCATCATAATTTCAATAAATGAAAATGTGCCTATCATTAACTAACATCATATAATATTTCATTTCAGTAAAGCAATAATATATTATGTCTTACTTAAAATTTTATATATTATTATTTGAACTGGTATTAGTAATTAATGTTTGAATTAATATATTAATTGAATTTTTTCTTATTTTAAATATTTTTTTACTTTTTCAAAATATTATAATATCAATCCTTATCTTAGAGTTTCATAAAGTTTTGTAATTTAAGGAGTGTCATTCTGTAAATGTTGATTCTTTCAAAAATAGTAAATACAGAATTCAAATGAAGTATTTTGTTACAATGTTTAAAGAATCACCCATAATATTCTTCCATCGGGCATAATATTAAATACAAATTATTTGATATTACAGACGTAATTAAACATAATTAAATGTAAGCTAAGATTATACTATATTACATACTAAGATTATATTAAGATTATTATAAATTGATTAAACAAATGATTTATATAAAATATCCTTGGATAAATGTTACAATTTATTTTTTCCAATATTACTAAATGTAATATAACATATAATGTATATGTTTTTTATTATTTGCTTGTTTAGACATTACTTTTTCAGTTATTTAAAATGCTATTTATTTAAAATTTAACTAATTTTATTATGTTACATTAGGAAAATTATTAATTTTTCTAAATTGATCGAACACTATGGTTTATAAATATATTTTTTTTGTTGTTTTTTTGTCATTGGAATTATTGTTGGTTATATATATTATTTCTAATATGTTTTTAAAGAATGAATATCATTTACATTTATACTATAGATATCGTATCTGTCTATTACTAAATTGTGTGTTTATTTTTTACCACATCTTTATAATTACACAAAATAAAAATAAATGTTTTAGGTAATGTTGAAGGAAACTATTTGAAAAATGAAGTACTTCCTGATGGATTGATTAAAGATACTCCATTAATAATATTAAAGATTGTAATATATAATAATAAGGCAAAGAAAGTCACTACATTTAGTAAGCTTTGAGAAACTAATTTGTATCACTTTAGCTAGGGCTTTCTCTATTATATAAAACTTATTTTTGTTAATAATAGTTATGTTTTATTTATCATCTATCAGATTATAATAATCTATATTTATTATATTACATAAACATATTTGTATTTATATGAGCTGCATTTGTTAAATTATATTCAACATTTCTTTTTCATTTTTTGTTTAAGGAGTAGGTAAAAGTTCTCTGCTATTACGATTTGCTGACAATACTTTTAATGGCAGTTACATAACGACAATAGGAGTGGATTTTAAAATTCAAACTGTGGATATAGATGGTGAGAGAGTAAAGCTCCAAATTTGGGATACAGCTGGACAAGAACGTTTTCGGACAATAACTTCAACTTACTACAGGGGAACACATGGTGTTATAGTTGTGTATGATGTGACCAGTGGTGATTCTTTTGCTAATGTTAAAAGATGGTTACATGAAATCGAACAAAATTGTGATGTGGTCAACAGGGTACTTGTAGGAAATAAAAATGATGCACCTAATGAAAAGGTGGTATTAACAGAAGATGCACAAAGATTTGCTAATCAAATGGGAATTCAGTTATTTGAAACTTCTGCTAAAGACAATATAAATGTGCAAGAAGTAAGTATGATACAGTATACATATATCTATGATTCATGTTACAACATGTTTTCATAAATAATAATTTGTAAGATAATAATTTGTATTTGATATAATTAAATGTATTTATATATATATTTTATATTTATTATTAGTGATTGATTATTTCAATGTTGTTTACAGTTTTTTAAATGCCACTATATGATAACCTATCTTTTGAAATTAATGATTATATTTTTAAATAAGAATATGAACATATTTTAACAATATGGCAATTGCATATATTATTCAGAAACTTATAGACTTTTTGTCTATTTTTCTAACAAATTTTATAAAATAATTTTTCTTTTTGATTTTCATACGATGATTTTCTTATGATATTATCTCTTAGTAATTTATATTTTTCATTATCTTTTTTTACTATTAGATTTATCAGATTTAAATAGTGTTTGTTACTGTTACACTAACAGTTGTATTTGTTATGCTACACATATTTTACTACATTGTCTTCATTTATGTAGATATATGAAGACGTAGTATCTATCAGTTTCATATTCTGCATATTTTATATTTTTTGTTATAATACGAAATATTCAATAAGACCAACAAAGTTTGTCATTATAATATTATTAAAATGCATAATATTATTTTAAACAAGAAATGTTGTATACATCATGGTCTTTTTTCTTGAGCTATAGAAAGTGTATTGATATAAACTACAAATAATTAGGCACTTTCCTATTATTTAACTTTTATTTAATTATTTATGTAAAATTTTGTAAAGTTGTGTTTGATGTCGAAACATTGGTTTGTTTTATATATATTGTTAGAAATTATTATTTTCTGTCCTTATGTACACAAGTATATATACTTCATTGAATATCGATATTTAAAAATTATATACCAAGGAAATTTACTCCATATATGTACCAAATTTCAAACCAATCAATTATTTAATAAAATTATTTTTTTAGAAAATTATATCAAATATCACAATGAAGGAGTAATTTTAAAAAATATACACTTAATATTTTAGATTAATACAAATCAAATTGCTGCTTATTTATTTTTAATCTGTTATATTAGTTTTATACAGCCATCTTTTCCTTTCTGTGAAAATGATTATATTTCTATTAAATTTTATTTCTGTAAGAAAGATTATATCATTTTTTTATTTTATGGAGTATTATAGAACTAATATTTTTAAAAACTAAACTTCAAAGAAACAAATTTTTTTCTGCATTTCTGATTTGTGTTTGCTATTAAAGAGATTTTTTTTTTATAAAGGTAATGTAGGACTTCTAATGTAGTACTAAATAAATAAATAAATAAATATGTTAAATTTGACAGTGACATAACTTTAATTTATATTAATTTGTTGCATTTAGATGTTTATGGCTATAACACGGCAAGTATTAAGAACCAAAAAGGAAAGGAAGGAACGACAAGCTATACAAACCAGTGAAACAGTCAATTTAAGAAAAAGCACAAAACAGCATAAAAAAAAGTGTTGTTAACAGAATTGTATAAGCATGCAATCTGTTCTTAATACCATTTAATAGAGTAATAAAAATGAAACAAAACTAAAACAGAGAGCATGCTATAGCAACAAAATGATCATGTAATGTAATGCCAACGTTTTTTAAAACTATTAAGTTTTGTATCTAAATTACAACATCGAAGATTGTATTCTCATAGAAATATACTTTGATGCTAGTAATGTTCAATATACATAGGATGCAAATGTTATGAGTGTGTAGTGTTTATTTAGTAAAAGTAACTTTGTAAGTAACACACTTTTCAACAAGCTGCATATTTTGAATGTGGCATTAGGAACATAAAGGCCTATTTATATTGTACAATTTACAATTTACAAAAAATTAGCACAAAAAAGAAAAATGAATTAAATTATATACACAGCTGCTTCTTATCCATTCTTTTTACTGCAAAATATTATTTATAAAGAAAAGTGGTATAAAATAGAAGATAAAGGAATATATTGTACAAAGCTCAATCTAAATTTATTGAATAAAATGAAAAAACGTAAAATAATGTATGTGAGATTTGAATGATTATGGATAAATTTTTCTTAATAAGTTACCATAATGTGAATTCAACATAGATAAGGCATGCTATTTAATAAAGAGAAGACGATCTATCTTCATCAGCAGGTTCAGGTAATTTTGTGCATATTCATTGTACAAAGTTCCTGTAGTTTGATGACGCTTTAGAATGGACTTTACAAATCAAATTGAAATAAACAGTAATATATTTACGGTATAACAGAGGCAAGCTGTTTAATTGATGAAGGAAAGGTTACACTGTGTCAATTTAAATATTATAAATTCAATTAAAATATAAACACAGACTATTCATTATTTGAAAACTGAATTAACAAATTGAAAAAAATTAAAACTATTTATTTTTCAATATGAATATATGTTGTAGACTTGAATTCTGTAAAGTATATCTTGCAATATGTTAATACAATACTATTAGCATTTGTGAAATTTTTATTTTTATGAACTTGATTCAAATAATTAATTTTTTAAATAATATGAACTGAAATTTTTATTTTGTTTGCAATCAGTTTCATTGTTGAAACTATTATAAGTGTTTCCATTATCATAATAATTAAAGTAAAAATTATTAGCAAATTTTTTAAGTATGTATTACATATAAACAATTAAAATTAACATTTTGTAATTATTGAAAAGACAAACTTCTGAACACGTAATAATTTGCCAAGTTTGATAATAAATGTGATTGACATATTATATGTGCTATAATAACACAATAAACATATTTTATCATCTGTGATAATAGTTAGGATACTTATCTAGCTGCCGCTGTAATACCGTTAAAAACAGCTCCGTAAATTATTGTAATTGATATTACAAATTTTTGGTCAAAATAACATATCTTTCAAATGAGGGAATGAAGCGGCATCCTATAATATGTAAATATTCTACTTGCCAGTTTTAGTGGCATATTACAAATATTCCAATCAAGCATATTCAATATTGTTTACTGTTATACAGTTATAACATTGTAATATGAATTATTATATACTTTAAAATATAAATAAATAGAATCTACGTGTATATGTGTGTGTGTGTGAATATACTTCATATTTTTTTTAGATTATTTATTACCTCTCCCATTTTTATTCACATTTAAATTCTATGACAATTATAAATTAAAGTATTGGATATCATGCATTTTTATATACTTTTTTGTTTTCAGCAATTATAGACATAAATATAATATTGCAAAAATGTTTATAAAAAAATAAAAATCTGTTCGCAAAAATTATTGTTATTAAGTAGTTACTATTAAGGTGTAAAAATTAACAAGAAATATGAACAAGTTTAAATATATTTGTCATGACTAAATCAATTTATTTACAAAAGTAACATTAAGCATTGATATTTGAAGATGTTAGAATAATTTCCTTTTTGGTTTAATCCCTTAGGCAATAAAGTTTCCTTAGGCATTACAATACAATTTTTGAAAACTAGATCAAAGGTATTTTTGGAGTTCTAGATACGGATAAGAATAAGATTTCAAATAGGGAATACGGATTAAATTAGTTTTTTTTACTGATTTTCTTATTAAATTGAATGGTTTTTATTTAAAAAATTTTCCTAATTTTACTCCCAATTTTTACAATCAAGAAAGATATATGGTTTGTGAAGCTAAGTTGTTAATTAAAAATCCTGCATTAAAAGTAACAAATATGTATAACATTACTTTTCCTAAATAACATTATTTTTTATATAATTCAAGATTTGTGATGTATAGCAATATAAACTTTAGTACATTACTAAATGCTAAAATAAATTATTAATCATCTTTGTGAAAGATAAATTTATCTCGTGTATATTTAAATTAATTTCTTATATCTATGTAATTTATGTGAAACAAATACTAAATAATATTATAATAATTATAATATTTCATAGCCATTATATGTTTTATATTGATTTCAAAATTTTGTTGAACTAAAAGTTAACACTAGAAATTAAAAAATACATAGAATCATTAAATATTGATACATAATGAATAATTTTCATTAATAAATTTATATATATGTACAAATAATAGTATTTGCATAATAAATAAGGATATGTAATAAACATGGAATTATCAACAGTCAGTGTATATTATTTATAATGAGTAGGATATAGGAAAATATAAAATTAAAAACAATTAAAGTTTAAGAAATATAAAGCTAACTTTTGTAGTCATACGAGATTTAAATTTTGTTTTTAATTTAGTTGATTTAGTTGTTTTGTATTGTAGTTTCAATTCAAATTTAGTTATTACATATGGAAAGGTTGTTTTCTAATGATTATTCTTTAAAAACAATAATATAACTAATAAAGACATTTTGTAAAGAATACAGGACTCCTTCAAACCCCTTAAATACAAAAGGGTGGATAATAAGGATGTCAGTAATGGAACTAATGATTATTGTACGATATCTTTTTTTCTTATTAGGAATGAATTTTCATTTAATGATTAAGCATGTGTTATAAGATCAAGTGCTATAAATATAATATAATTGTATTATTCCGGTAATTAAAATTACTCACATTATTTTAATTTATAAATCATTAGATATATATGTAAACTTTTTTTTCAAAAATTAAATCTCAAAAGCAGAAGAGAATAAAATCTAAGAAAGAAAAAGAGAGAAAATTGTTTATTCAATTAGATTATGTTTCAAATGTAGTAAAACTTATTGGTAAAGAATAATATAAATTAAAAATAGTAATATGAATTATAAACGGTTTAAGAAATATTCGGTAAAATATTATCTAATATCGCTGAAACGAAAATTATCTATTATATATCTCTATACACACATAAAAAATTGCGTAACCTCACATTTTTTAAAGGAGAATCTGTAAAATTTGTATATAAAAAGAATAATAAAAAAATTTTTACATGTAACCATATAAATTAATAAGAATTACATATAACGTATTGTTATAGACGTGTAAAATGATATACAGTGTAATTTATACATATATTATGATACTAGTATTGTTATCCATACTTACATAGTATATATATATATACATACATAGGTACATATATACATATATACATACATTATAAACACATACATACATATATACATATCCTTTGTCAGTAAACTCTAAAATCTATAGCACTCACATATTTTAAATTGATCTTACTCAACGTGTTTCGTTTTGACGGAAAGAAAGATTATTAAATAACTTTAATTGTATGAAATATTTATCACATTGATTAATATTAAGTTGAGCATTTACATATTATTTTATATATGTATATATACATATATATATATATAATACACAAGGCAACGTGTATATATATACATACACGTGCACACAATATAAACGCGTAGTAATATTATGTAGTAGGTAATTCACATATATATATGTATATATATCTATTACCTACTATACATCAGAGTCAATATATATTAGAGTCAAATACTGGTAAAATTTTAGTTTGTGTATTATTATTTTGTATATTACAAAAAAATATTACCTCTAAACATATTCAATTTTTCTAACGTATGCTATTATAATAGTTTCATTTCTAATAATTTCTCTTAAATAATTACTTTTAAATATAGAGTATATGCTACAGAACTTACCACTTTAAAAATAAGCTATGCTAATTAAAATATGGCAGATATTTTATGCATAATGAAGTTTATGAACTGATTATTCTAAATTTACTTACAATTTTCATGTAATGTAATTGTAACATTGCCTCGCTTTGTTTTGTCTGTAAAATGTTTCATCTATTTAACAGTATATAAATTTTTGTAATTATTCTATATTTCTTAAACAATATATTAATAGAAACATATCTTATATATATATTCATAACGAATTTTTATTTTACTTTTTCGTATGCAACTATTTACTATTTCGTAACGTTATGTAATTCCAATTAAAATAAGTTATACGAAAATAATATTGTAACTGTTTAATCTTTTATGAAGATTATTGATAATTATTAAAACGTTACAATACAGGATAAAAAACGCAAGGAACGAATTCCATTTCTTTCCTTTTCCAAATTAATAATGAAAAAAAGTACTGTAAAATAAAGAAAATCAAAATCAATGAAAAAAGGTTATATAAAATAAGAATACAGTATGTAGGAAAATTTAAGGAAAGGTGTTCTAGCAACGTGGTTCGGAATACACGGTGTCGTACCCCCACCTCCTGACGAAAACTTAAAAATGCCGCCGCAGCGCAACCCGAATCGATATTCGCCAACGTAGTCACGTGACTGAGACTCGAGTGCTGGCAGCCAATCGGGATTTTGCTAGAATGAAGTTTGCTCTCCTTCTATAACAGAGCGACGACACGACATCTAACTTTAGGTAACTGGAACAACAGTTCGCGACTGGCAGCGCACCGGTTTATGTTTTGGCAATGTGTCTCGTTTTGAAGCCAGTAAGCCAGTTACGCGAGTGGTTTTGTGACACGTTCAACCGTTAAGGCAGTGAATACAAAGACAATATCACAATATCAGAGTGTGGAAAAGAATAAATTTGGCGCTTGACATAATTTGTTCATAATTTGTTTTTACCTGAAAAGGAGATAACGGCGATGTGCGTGTGAGTATCGCTGATACTTGTATCGCGTCTAAGAAAAAGTAATAACTGGGGTAAAGAGAGCAGAATCGAAAAGAAATCAACGATCGCAAGCGAGAAAAAGTTCAGAATAACGAGGGGAAGTGCTGGTGGGGTGATACAAACATCGAAGAAAGAGAAAGAAAAATTTACTACACATTGTACGCACGACACGCACGACGTACGCGTATGCACACATATATAGATACGCGCGCTTGCGGGCGCGCTTACAGATACAGATACGTAATAAAGTTATATACACGGGCAGTCAAGCACACGCACGCACACGCGCGCGCGCGTGCGCGCGTGTGTGTATGTACTCTATAGTAGATGAATATATACACGTATTTGTACATATATAGAAAGAGAAGAAGAAGAGAAGGACGGTGTGAGGGAGGTTAAAGGAGGGAGCTTGGGGAAGGAGCGAGGGAACGAGCGAGTAAGGGAGAGAAATATAGAGAACAAGAAAGAAGGAAGAAAGCGAAACGCGTGGAAGAAGGGAAATAGGAATCGAAAAATACGGTAGTGTTACATGTGATATGCGGTGTTTCGCGAGTGCTAAGCGATCCGCGTGGGACAGAAAATCGTAAAACAAAACAATCGACGAACTTTCTCCCTTTTGTTTCGTTTTGTTAGTTAGAATGGGTTTATCGTTGCTGATAAATTTAATCAAACGATCGGTACGACAGAAAAGTAAACTGTTCAAGACTGATTATTGCCGATCTCGAATTAATATTTAGACAAAAGAATCGAAGATTGTACTTGAAATATGAATCGTGTATGGTACAAGATCGTTGAGTGTGAGGAAGAAGGAGAATAGCGGTGCATGGAAGAAAGGAAAAGCGAGAGTCAGAGGTGTGAAGAGATGATTCCATAAAGACGGACTGGAGGATATTGGGGAAGGGAAGGGAAGGGAAGGGAAGGAAAGGAAAGGGAAGGGAAGGGAGAGGAAAGACGGTAAGGCAAAGGAAACGGGAAAGAAGAAACAAAGAGAAGAAAGAAGGAAACGTGCGTGAAATAATTGTGAAGGCTCGAAGTTTTTGAAAAACGTGTATATGTGTGTGCGCGTGTGTATATATCAGTGGGCAAGATGGAGGAAAGTCAGCTGTTGATGACGGAACTTCCGGCATTGACGCCAAGTCGCGGCACAACGTTGCTTCATCGTTCAGGACATTATTATCAGTTACACCAGCCGCACCTGGCTGCGATACCGACGTCGCCGCAGAATCAGGGGATTCTTTACAACTCAAGTAACGCGCCGTCACATTATACCAGCGGTGCGACGACTGGCCTACCGGTGTACGCGCAAGGTCTTTCGTCGAGGCAACAACCGCAAGTAACTGCTCGTGGTACTGTCACAGTACCGAGCACGCATATCTCCTGCCTGTATCCTGAAATATTGGCGCTGATCTTTAGCTACCTGGAGGTCAGGGATAAAGGACGCGCTGCCCAAGT